GCTACGTGACCTTCACAAAATCAACCACTCACAGGCAAACATGACAGTAGGAGGAGACGCCACTTGCAACCTCCACCACGAGATGAACAGTCAAGGAACCTGAACCAGCCTTGGCGTGTGCCAGAACGTCGCTCATCTTGTGGTTACTCATAACGAGTGCCGTTTCAAAGTCCAACAGCAGTGACACAGTAAAAAGAAAAAAGAAAAAGATCGCTAATCAGTTTTGTTTTGCCAGAGACAAAACTTCGGCAACTTTAGATCCCGATTAACATGTTTCCGGAACCGTTTACATCTCTTGCATCTCGTGTTTGCGGATAACTTTGTATGATGGAGTCACGGATACAATATGACGAATTAATTGTAGCCGAGACAGCGGATGATGAATGAACAAACAATTCATGTTCCATAATTAGTTTTATCAATTCTCTTTTATTGTGTCGAAATGACTAAACTACTATACAGAGGTATGATGCATGCGATCATCAACCCAGCCTCTGGTTTTCCTCGTGGTCTTTACCTCTGACTGGATCATTGACAATTGGCGTCGTCACCAGACAACGTGGACATATGAATGACCAGCCTCTCCAAGTGTATATCATTTCCACAACTGCAAAATATTAATCAAGCAGAGCAATCATTCTCACAAAATTATCAGATCTAGGGTTGACAAAAGCCAAGCCCGATCAAGGTCAAGCAAGGTCAGGCTTCCATAGTGAACGATAGCCTTCTTGACATCATGCCCCTGTCTCTTCAAAGTGGTGAGGCTTGCAGGATACAGGTTAGTTGAAAGGAGATGGGCTGGCAGAACCTGCATACTGCTGCTGCATGCTGCAATAACTAAATTAGACTAGATGCCGTGATTGGGCATCTTTTGGGTTACGAGCAGTAGAAAGAGATGTAGATGCAGATGCTAGCCAAGCTACTGTAAAGAGTCATTCGCTTGAGAGAAAAGTTCCGAAAACTCCCTCGACACCGCTTTCTTTTGTCTGTCTGTCATGTTTTCCAAGGCTAACATCAAGCCGTCTTTTTTTTTTTTTCGTTTGTGCGTACGTCTTGATGATCTGCACAAGTGAGTAAGAAACCTTGAGCATCTACCCTGTTCGGAGGCAAAGTCTGTATCTGGTGCCACATCAAACACGACACCAGAAAACGAATCTCGGATGAGGGAGATTTGACAGCCCAGGGTTCTTGACCTTGACCATGCTATGTGTATGTGTGTCAGATTTGACTTGGCTTTTGCCGCCCGTTGAACCATGTTTGAGAAATGGCTGCTTTAAGGGTCGCCCTAGCAGCTTGTTGTTCTTATAATAATAAACGCTGTCTTTTTTGGTGGTGATATTTTGGTGGTGTTTTTTCAGCTATACACTCTAAAAGTGTATTAAGTTTGGTGTGTGATGGGTGGGAGGATGAAATCGAATGGCGAGATGTGATAGGCGAAGACGAGGTCGCAGAGTTAAAGACCATCACATCCAAACACAGCGTCAAACCAGCAGCAAGTCTCCACACCCATTCAGAGTCGAGTCCGAGACACATCACCAATTACTCTCTGTATCAAAGTCTAGGACAGTGTAGATAGTTTTTATCAATCGTGAAATACTCAGGCTGAACGGGTCCTAGACGCCAGCCTGTTGATGGTATTCTCTAGTCTTGATCTCAACCCTTTCATGGTATGGACCGTCCCTGTTTAGACTGCGCTAGAACAGGACGATGCGATATGCTGCATTGCATGCCATGTCAAGGCGAGGCCAACTCAGCAAGCGGATCTCTCGTACTGCAGGCACAGAGATTTATGATGCCAACCTTTACCTGTACCTATACCTAACCTAACCTAATGCCTCAACTTCAGGTACTGTACTGTATGTAGGTTTCTTTATCTCTTTTGGTTAGATGCAGTAACTTGACAACACACAAACCAGTACATGACCCGAGATTGGACAGAGTCTCTCCTAGTTGAAGCGCCCTCGTCCAGCTCAAAGGCGAGTCTCTCTCCCACAACTGGTCCCCATAGTCCCGCTAAAAATCGGTGATCGCCTTTTGTCCATCGAACCAGTTGGACAAGGGTTGACCAATCACGTCTTATACTTGTGAACTCTTCCAGACACCCACTTTCAGTCACCTCTTCTTTTCTCTATTGTCAGACCGACATTTGCTTTTAATACTCAGTCTTGCTGGAAAAAGATAACCTCTAGGCCAACATTAATCATCAACGGCCACGTTCCTTTACTCGGATCATGTTCCCCATCCCTTGACCATGTCGACGAACCATGTGCGCCATTTGACGAACCTCGAAATCATACTATGTAATAAACTAAACTAAACTCCCTTGTCGGCCCCCCCTCGACATGACATGGGAATCTACAAGACACAGCGTCCCTATTTTGCCTTTTTGCCCATTTTCACGCTTCACCATTTACAGCACTTTTCCCATCAAGTCTCGAACCCCTCGATTTCGATTTTGCCCCTTCTCCCCTTCTCCCCCTTGCCATTTGAGTCTCAGGTTGGTCGGCAAAGACGCCAAGCATGCCAGGGTCCCCAAATCTCAGGACAGGGTCCAAACAGACGCCGAGCTCTGATTGGTGAATTCTCGTGTCGCAGGTTGGGCTGGACACGGAGAATCTCGTTCCAGTATCAAATTCTGCACCTGACAGAGATGCGTAGAAAATTGTAGGAGCATCCTCATGATAAGGCTAGCCAGGTGAGACCTCGACACAGTAAGCGTATGTGCCGTGCTACATGGACGGAATCGTACTGGTTCGACCGGATCCGATGATAACATAACGTCAAATAGTGACATTTCCGTCCGAGATGAGATGAGATGGTCGAGATTTTCCTCCGCTCCGCTCTTAAAGCCACATATCACATCATGTCATGACTATCTACGAGCGCGGCTTTGAGTTGCCAAGAGACGAGATCTACAGGGCAATATTGACATGTTGAAGCCCTTGAGTATTGGTTTTGACTACTGAATGCGGCGGCTGTCTCTTGTGAAAGGAATGTCTTGGTGAAAAAGTCTAACCAAGTCAAGCCATACTAACAATTGTCTACCCTTAATCCAATTCTAATGAATTTTGATGGGATCATCTAACCTACTAAGACAAGGTTAAACTCATAAGATCTTTCCCAACAGAGACTAAAATTGAACCCTTAATCTTTGGCGTTGATGATTTTCGTATATAGACATGGATTAATCATTGGTCGAGTCTCAATGACGCCATGGCTTTGGCCTTGCAGAAGCGAAAAGCAAAGCTTCCCCAGGTCCACATCGACATCTGCAAGCCACACGCACCGCCACAACCACATATCCGTCGAGAACCCACATGAGCTTCTGCAACGTCACAGTGGAGCGAAGAGCTGAGTCCAACAGCCACTTCTACATTCGATCCAACTAACCATTACAGGATTAGCATCATCCCATGTTGGACTCTAAATTTGGCTCTACTCTAAGCAGACAGCCATCCTTTTTTAGAACTATAATTCTGCACTACTAGTCCAGCACCTTTGGATGTGGACATGTCAAAAGTTGAGAGAAAATACTGTGAATACAAGGCTAAGCACAGCCATAATAGTATCTTTAGAAGGACTCAAATACGAACCAGACTCTCCAATTGTCCGCTTCCTTGCGGAGCTGACTGATTTGTTAGTGGCTATAAACTCCCCCTTCACCTCGGAGAGTGCCTGGTACTCGGTGTTGTATCCAACATCAGCCAGACTAGAACCATATCAACTCAATATTCAATCAACTAAACAACTAAACTATTACTCCACGTTCCAGCCCTGCTCGGCCCGAAGGAGTGAAACTAGACCCGACGAAAAAACCATTCCGATGGGTATCAATAGAATTCCTCCCTCGTCAATCCCAGCTATAAACTACTGAATGTTGCATCTGTTACTTGCTGGCTCCCTTGCTATATCAAAGACCCCCGCAAAATCTGTTTCTCGGAAAGTTTCACCCTTGCTTCGCTCATTCTTGGACTTTGTTTCATGGCTGACAGAGGGAGAGCTACCCCACGTCAATATCATCCCTCACATAATACTTACAGCCCCAAGGCCTCTCTCTGTTTTCTGTTTCCGTTCAAAACAGATACTCGCTAAGAGGTACTCGTTAGAACAGAAACAAAATTCACTTTTAGACTGTGTAGATACCCCCCAAAGGATGAGGCAGTGAATCTTGACACACATCCGGTAAGAGGATCTCGACCTTCTTGGTGTGCGTGTTCCGAGACACGGGACTTGTCAGAGCCGATGTCAGACACAAGCTTTATTCTTATAAGAATCCCCCCCCAACATTGTTATAAACAGATTCAAAGTTACTAAGCTGAGGCGGAGTTGCAAAGTTGTTGAGCTGGCGTCCAAACCTACCTAGAATAGAACCAAGGACTGACAGTGAGTGCACCGATTTTACATGTACCCAATCGAGTGTGTCAGCCAGTCAATCTACACAATCGTAACCGAATAATATGTTTTCTGTCATAATTCTTCCAAGGAAAAAAATATCGTGACTTTGTTTTGTTCTAGAACATCTGTGGACTCCATACTTGACAGCGCACAAGATGAATACGAGGCAGAAAATTCGGCAGTGCCCGGATCCGCCAACGTAGGGAATATGGGCACAAGTTTAGCAGTAAAGCGATAATAGTCCTTATGATGCATATGATAACTCGAGTGTGTTGATATTGGCGGGTTGTCTGACTTGACTACCAAATACGATGTCAAATCTAACGAATAGCTGCTGTAAACGTATGTAACAGATACTCAAAAAGCAATAATCTTTTAAATTTTCTCTTCCACTTTTATTGAGTTTTACTTCCTTCTTTCTTTCTTAGAATAGGCTTCAGGAGCTTGAAAAGCTCATCATGATGTGGCAGGACAAATGCATCAATCCTTAAGTTTACTGGTACCTCTCTGTCAGGAAGCCATGTCTCTCCGAAACGAAACTGGGCAACCAGACTTCATCTCCTCTTTCGATTGAACAAGTCTATTACTCAATCATTCAAGCGAAGATGCGTCCTCTTCCTCAGCCTCCTTGGATGCCTCGTAACTATTATGGCGAGATACCCAGCATCATCACCAGCATTCGACAGCTCCCTTCAGGGGTAGCTCCAACCCTCGACACCATCCCAGAGATCAATCATACCATGATAAAAACCGAGCCCTTATCCAGTCTCATTTGGGACACGCAAGCGACTGACTTCAAGCGGTGGGGATTTGTCATATTCCGTACTGTGTATACGGAGGAGTCTCAACCTCTATGGGAGAGCTACGTTGAATTTTTGAAAGCGTCAGTAGAGGAAGACCTTCAGTTCAAAGAGCTATCGACGCTTTTGAATCCGCTTCTTGAATGGGTCATCATTGAAGATCAAGAAACTCTCAACAATGCCTCAAAGCAGCACGTGCGCGAGAGGTTCTCGGAATAGTCGCCCCAACACTCTGTCGACAGAGACGGCCCTGGGGTCGAGGATGCATTTTGGCAGCAATTTCCTAGGTTCCGTCACTGCGTCTACGTTGATTAGAAGTGCCTTGATACCGTTGCCCAGTATGAGGCCTGGGCTGAAGCAGGCGCCGAAAGCGACGATAAGCAAGTCGTTTGTATGTCACTGTAGCATCTTTGACAACAGTGGGTGAGTTGTTTCCTTGTCCACATTCAACGTTGAGCACTAATACTAGTAGGTAGGTAGGTACAGGCTCGGATCCAAATATTCAATAAGATGCTATTAAACCAAAACGTTATCACCTTTCTCATAAACCATCCAGAATCAGTTTAGGTTGAAGGCGCTGCGAGTGCCCTAGATGCTTGCCTGGCCCTTTTCAACAACTTATAATGGAACGAGACTCGTCTTTTACTGTTGTCATATAGAAATGTGAATGGTTGCATAAGACCTCGGTGCCACAGGCTTCTATAGCTCCTTCGCTCGTGGCTGCCTTTCCTTTGCAAACCATGACACATCGGTGTAAGTCCTTCTCAACATATGAGTTTATCCCTCCCTGAACGAAGATCCCACAAGTTAGTAGCTTGGGAAGGTATGCTTCTAGAGCACAGTAACAAGTTTTTTTTTTCATCCCGTCTTCAAAAAAAAGAAAGAAAGAAAGAAAAAAACTCATGTCTGTTATTGATAGTCAACCGGCAGTGTAATGTTGTTCATGTCCAGGGTAAGTTCGGCTCATCCTTTGAACCAACAGGGATCTCACCATGCATAATAACGTCATAAAATCTGCACGCAGTTTATGAAACTTGAGAATTAAAGAATGATCGACGCATTGTGCTACAAGGTTAGAAATCCCAAAACGTCACGAATCTTGCTTGTTCTCTTGAATCATGATGCGCATGTGTGATGCAACTGCCAACTGGCAAGTGACTTTGCACAGTATTTCGCAACTCCCAAGTTGAGTTGGATGTACATGCACGTTGTGATGATGTAAAGGACCCTTGGTTCCATTCATATTCTTAATGCATCAGGATATTTAGACCAGACTTCTTAGGCTAATGTATTAACTGACCTACTAATTTTGTCTCTTATATTTCAGGCAGCTAGGTTCTCTGATACTCTGAGGCCGAGGCATCAGACTTCTCGCAGGAATATATTATTGCCGATCAACGGGTTCTGAATAAGCCATCTCTTAGAGACAAGCTAAAATCAATACAAGACATATATCACTGAAACTTGTTGTGCTCTTTGCAAAAGTCTGTTCTTCTAGATCTATCGATAGATCTGCCAGTTAACCTAGAGTAATTACCTCCACCTACCAGCGATACGAGCAACTTGAATCATTTGTACAACTGCTGGGGTATTTTGCATAACAACCAATCCGGCGGATATCAATCTCACTCACTGCCTTTCATCCACTATAACCTCGTAATCCAGCCACTCGCCACTATCTCCTACCAAAAAGTACAGGATAAAGGAAATATTATCAGTCAAGACATCTCAGATAGATGAGATTCCTACTGAAATAACCGTAAACTTGCCTGCAAGTCTGAACGAGGTACATTCATCACCATAGTTCTCGACTGCGCCGAGGCGAACCTCCGCTGCTTTGAGGTCGCCATGGATCAGAGCTCCCGCTAAATGCATCACCATCGCCCCCTTGGCCAGGCACAGCTAAAAACACACCAGTCCCGTTGCCAACCATAACACTACGTCGAGCATCCCCTCGATCCCAACCAGACCCAGTCACATCGGCCGCCAGCCCGTAGCTGCTCATCGGTCGTCGAGACGTCGAGGCAGATTTAAACATCGGATCAACTGACACAAAGTTCCACTTGCCAAACTCGTCGCTCTTGGTAAAGACTTCGAGTGTGTGTGTAGGAGCTGCGGAAGTCGGCATGCGAGGTGCAAAAGGATTGTTCGAGCTGAACCGTTTGCTTGGTGGTTGGACATGTGATACCGGCCTCCTAGGCATGGGGAGGTTTGCCGAGGCTGGTAATAAGTTCGAGGAGGGCGAGAAGCCAAACCCAGGGTTCGACTTTGCGGACGAGTTAGAACCAGAGCGTGTATGGCCTCCGGCGAATGCAGCGTTAGGGGGTGGAAGCCCCTGAAGCTGGTCGGGGAAACTCTCATCATGAACGTAAAGTTGCCTCAACTTTGGTAAGCCACCGCCGAGGATAGATGAAGCGAGGTGGGAATAGTAGCCCATAGTTACGCTATCAAAGGGACCTGTTGACGCTGGTGAAATCTCATATCTCAAAGTTTCCAGAGACCGTGATGTGAATGGCCGAGTAACGATTGAGCTCGGGAACTGCTCTGTAACCTTGGACTGGATTGCAAACGTCTTGAGCGATGAAGCCATGGTGAAGATCTCCTGCAAGCTTGCTGGATGAACACCGGTATCCTTGAGCGTAAGGACTTTCAAGGCTTCCTGAGTTTCCTGCCATGCCAGGTACGCAATGAGACCCCTCAAGGTCACACCAGGCGTATCCTTAAGTACGAGTTCTTTGATAGGGGGCAATGTAGCCATTCCATCTGATGATGATAGGACCTCATCTGAAAGGCCCGGTGTATTCGACACCTTCAGCGCCTGTAGATTGCCGAGGCTGCCGAGAACTGCTCTAATTACTGTAGGATCGACATTGAGGTCGTTCAATTCTAGCACTTCTAGGTTCGGCCACACTTGCCCTGAAGCTAGCATGGCCAAACTACGCTCTGAGCCGCCAACGTAGGTCATCTTTCGAAGGTTCGGGCATCGGGCTTGTACTTCGAGTCGGAGGGTCGAATAATGAGGATCGTCGCAAAACATGCCCTCTGGTAGATCGACATATTTGAGGTTTGGGAGAACGGCGATGGTCTGTGCAAGCTCGACTTGGGAAGACTCGCGCAACATGTACGGAAGTTTTAGGTACTGTACAAACTTTCCAATTCGCGTCGGGTCATCGCGAACGGTGCGCCGAAGAAGGCGTAGGCGAGCCTGGGCTGGATCCTCAGGTATGCCATTGCGGTCGAATCGGGAGGTCTTTTTTCGTCTTTCGGCAAGCCATTCTTCTAGACGGCAATAGTGGACTGGATCGATGCGAACGCTGTGATATCTGGCCGACAGGGGTTAGCGACTGTATGTCATCGGACTACCACAACACGACTTACAAGACTTTGACCGCGCTTGGACGCCATGCGCGACAGACTTGGACACAGTGAGCAACATCGCGCAAGTCGCATAGCATACAGACGCTGTCGCTTGAACTGGCACTGCCTTCACAAGTTTCATAACTCTCGTCAAGGGAATGCGGGCAAACGAAAGCGAAGATGCGCTCAAGGACTTTTGGTGGTAGATGAGCAAGCAAATATGCTGAGTTTCGAGTTGGAGGATATAAAGGTGGACATCCAGCACCCTGAGGGCGGAACTCAAAAGGAACGACAAAGTCAGAGCTCTGGCCGCCACTGCCGGCCTTGTCCTTCTTGTTCCGACGTCGGAAGGGGTTTCGCATCTTGGCGTGGTGGTTTGGTCGTGGTTCTGGTTGAAGTGACAGCTGGATAGAGACAGGGGGGTAAGGTTTAGGGTGCGAACAAAACGAGATACAGAGAGAAAGGCGTGCTGTATATGAAAGAGAAGGAACAGAAATGCACTACAGAAAACTATTAAACAATGAGCAAACTTCAAAGGCTTAGGCTCGGAGTGAGTGAAGAGAGATCGACAAGAGGCGAGAGGGAGAGGGAGGAAGCGAAGGAGGGGGACGTTATTAAGAGAGACGTTCGGTCGATCCTCAAATTCAAGTCGTCGATTCAATTGGGTTTGATTTCTGGGGAACCGATTAATAGTAAAAAGATTGAAAGGGTAATTACAGGGGTATCATCAACGTTCCCTAGGGTAGTACCTGCCTTTTCCGACCGGGGGTAGAAAGCACGTGCCAATTATATTGTAGGTCCGAATTGCAATGGAGGGAAGGCACAAAGAAAGACCCAAACGCGTGCCTGACTTGCCTGTCTGACTGTCTGCCTGTCTGACAGACCAAATGAAGTATCGCAACGTTTGAATCTCTACTTGGCATAGACTGGACGGACGACAAGCTTCCAATGTTTCACAAGATAAACGCTATTTCCAAACAACATACAGCCTTAGCCTGGCCCCGCCAGCCCGCATTCCTCAGGCGTTGACTGAGTGGCGTTTGGAAGCGCGCCATCTATCTTTGGCTTTTGGATCAGGCGCTTTGATAATGGTTACAGCAGAGATCAGCACCAAGATTGGACCTCCTTGCTCCTTGTTCACGGGCAGATCAACAGGGGGGAGGCGGAAACGAGGAAAAAAGTCTTGGCTGCCAGGAATGGAATAAAGACAAAGACGAAGACAAAGATGGTTGCCTCCTCGTTCAATGTCAAACTTGTCCTGCGTATCACAAACCAGCAAACACCACATATATTGCATTGCATTACGTTGAATACTCACCTATCCATCCCCCTTACAGGTACCTAAACAAAGTCACATTCAGTCAGCAGCATTTGGGGGAAAGGGGGGATAATCACTCAGTAAGCCATCATCTTATAGTTACGTGTCATTGGTGTAAGCGCCTCTGTTTCTAGTGAGAAACCCAGCCCAAATCAAAAGCCTGAGCGTGTCTCTTTCTCCATGATCGTCGTACTGGAGGATCTTTCGCAAACGCAGCCAATGAAGCACCTCAAAGTCAACAAGGGTTATCCTTCAAACATCCATGTCTTGGGGCATATTGAAGAAACACACGCTGCTGCGTCGCCATGGTTTGTGATTAATCTTAGCAGTTGTTTCTGGTTGTTTGCTTTTGGTTAATATCAACGTTTGGACCCTTGACATGACGTCAATTAGCTGCTTTATATATGAGCTGAAGATGCTGGCCGAGAGCTGAAAGAGTAACGGTAATAGCATATAAAACTCGTTACAGTTTTATATCCAAGGCCATATTGTCTGGTCTAAATCGTAGATTGCTTAATAAACTTAATATGGTTGTCAATTTTTTGTCAATTTATCCATCATATATGCCTGTCCGTTTTGTTTGGTTGGAGCTTGAGTACTCACAGACACAAAGACATGAATCAATATGTTTTGGCAAGGCAGGTTAATTGCCGTCAGCCCAAACGTCGGAACAGAACAAGCTGACAAAACACGTTAATATTAGCAAAACAACATGCGTCTCGGTTACTAAAAATGACACGGTCTTCTGTTAACCATGCGCCGCTTCTTACAAGCTCCCTCACGTTTCCAACTAGCCAAATGGCGAGATTGCCCTAGAAACTTGATAGGCCAGAGATATTCCTCACGTCTTTACAAACCTCTCAACCCAGGAGCATCTCAAATCCGACTACTCAAGATCCCTCAAGACCCATCTTCTGAATTTGAGCTCGTTACTGCATCACTCGACGAAAAACCAAGATATGCAGCACTGTCATATCTCTGGGGCAAACCCGAGCACTTTGGCCAAATCACAATCGACGGTGACACCCTCAAGATCCCAGACAACTTGGCCTCAGCATTCCTCCGTATTTTGAGCGACGAGCCTTTTCGCTCACAATCTTATTGCCAATACCTCTGGGCAGATGCAATATGTATCAACCAGAATGATCATGAAGAGAGATCTCAGCAAGTTCAGCTCATGCGTCGTATCTTTCAACTTGCCCACGTTACTTTCGCATGGGTTGGACCGAAGGACCACTCCCTTTCTTTCAATACCATCAATACGATAGACAAGGTAATAGATCACAACACCACCCGGAGGAGCATTTCGTCCAACGCGCTCTTCAATGTTGAGTGGTTACGGGGTCATCCGGAACTTTGTCTTGATAGAGGACCTGACTTCCCCAACAATCATCTCAACGATCCCTGGACTGCCGTGGCCGACTTTCTACAATATCAGTATTGGAAAAAGGCATGGATATTCCAAGAGGTCGTCCTTGCCGGCCAATTGGTTTTCATCAGCCCAGGAGAAGCCAACCTGACTTGGTCCACCCTCCGTGATCTTCACCAAGGCAAAGACACTATCACACGCACGCGGGACGACACGAAACGGCCGGACTTCTTGTCAGATACAGCATGGGATCTCCTAAGCAGTCCACTTCTATGGGGCATGATATCTTGGTTATTCCTTGCTCAGGCACGTACCAAGATACCCGACCCAGATGGATTCAAAGGCTGGATTGTCTCTCCTTTCACAACCAATCTAGAAGCCACTGATCATCGGGATCATATTTATGGTCTTCTTGGAGTGTCTGATATCTCAATCAGCCCAAACTACAGTCCTGAGAACCACGCCTCGCGTGTGTACACCAAGTATATCGCCGGATGGTTGAAAGCTGCACGCACCCAAAAGACGATGCACGTACACACTCCGCTCGCCTTTCTGTCCCTGGCAGGCGTAGGAGACGCAAAGTCTATATGCTCGGGGTGTTGATATGGGATCAGTCACTTTGACAACGGAGTACGGGAGAGATACCCAAGACGCTGCTCTTGCATCGTTCATGCCATTAGCAAGCTCTTTTACGGCGCGTAATTCACTTTACGTATCCGGTATTCCAGCAGCGCAGGCTATTATTTGATTATTACGCATCAACTCACTTCAACACACTACTCGGGATATGGTCGATACCGCTATGAACCTGGCCTTGCTAATCGCTTACTTTAACCAAGTATTACCTTATACTGTCTAGAAGACCTTGGGCAATGATTGGGACTAAGACATTTTTAACCTAGCTTTTTTAATAATAGATGTGACCCAATTTGGAATTAATCCAGATATCCCCGCAGAACTCAGCTCCTGGACTAAACAGCGACGTAAAGATGTCAACATCGCTACTGCCCGTTTGCTCTACATTTACAATTTTCCGAGACAAGTGAGGGATACTTGGGTGCAGTTGGCTATCAAGCTGTGGAAGGCGATCATCTCTATGCCATCGCAGGCTACAACAAGCCAGTCATCCTGAGACCTAATACGGATGGATCTTACGCTTTCGCGGGGTCGACATCTGTGGTAGATATGGATGCCGATCATGTTCTACAAACCCGAAAGGCTCAAAGTATATTGCTAGAACTGAAATAAAGTTAAGAGGTTGGTCCAACGTTAGAAAATATGATCCACTTAAACACAAGAGTATGCTATGGGTAATCTAGCAATGTCATTCATTCCCAGACTTTACTCTGGAATCAATAATTCTATCATACATAGCTGCGAAATGATTACAAGGGTTCTAGATAGATCGTCGTAGCCTGGGGCCGAACTGAGTCGGCCGAGACTTTGGTCCCAAAAACCATGCCCATCCTCAAAATGCCCCCTGTTCGCCTAGTAAAACAAAACCCGTGAGAAGCATCGTCAACACCCTCCGTCATTATTGCTGCCCACATAAGGACTATTATTCATGTCTCAACCGTGAAACCAGCTTAGCTCAACCGTTTTTGAATAGCAAATCTCCAAACTGTTCTTTATATACGTTTGAAGCCGCTAAGATCAATCTACATCCAACTCCAACGCGATGATAGCTGAGATGCTCGCGTAGCATTATGCAGTCGTTACCAAAGCAACACATCGAGATAGGTCAATTTATTGGTTGCAACGCATTATCCTATCTCAACAGTGTGGCCAGCCACTTAAGCCTTGCGGGATCGAGTAGAGGCATTGCTGGTCTTGGCACCAGTGGTGGTGGCACCGTTGGATTTCTTGACGGGAGTGGTCTGGACCAGGTGAGGGTCGGGAAGAGGTGCCTGAGACATGCGGCGGAGGCTCTGTCGGCCGGTAGGGGCCTTTCCTTGCTTCTTGTAGGTGGCGAAGTAGAAAGAGATGAAGAGGACGAGGTAAGAGCTGATGGTGATGATACCAGAGAAAGCAGCAAACTCCTCGCCAGAGCACTTGCCAGCGTTGGGCATCCATTGGAAGTAGGTCGAGGTGAAGTAGGTGTAAGAGGCGAAGTAGATGAATCCGAGATCAATGACGAACTGGATGATCTGGAGACGGGTAACCCACTCCTTCCACCAAACACGAACACCACGAGCGCTCTGGAAGTAGTACCAGTACATAACAACGTGAACGAGGAGGTTCAGGACGATGGGAACCCAAGAGACTGAGGTGGAACCGATGAGCTGGGTGTAGCAGAGGAAAGCGGTAGCACCATGGTGGTAGCAGTGGAGGAAGGCTATAGACGTTAGTTTGCAGTTCTGTTTGTATATTAATCGGAAGACATACTCAAAGGCTTCTTCTTGAGGAACAAGAAGACGGTGTCGAGAAGCTCGAGGTACTTGGTGAGGTAGTTGAGCTGTGCAAATGTCAGCTAGAGCGCATGTGATAAATTGTTGGCTACTCACGTAGTACAGAACGACAAGGGGCTGGGTCCAGCCACCCTCAGAGTGGCAGATGGCGTGGAAGATACCGCCACGAACAACAGTGGGCAGAAGCTGCTCAATGAAGAGAGCCAGGAGAGCACCACTGATCAGAGTCAGGTAGAGGTTGTGGATCAAGAAGAGACCCTTGAGCTTGAAAGGCTCACGGTTGCGCATCCACTCGCGACCACCGAAGATGATGCAGTAGTAGATGACAATGAAGATCGATGTCGACTTGAGGGTGGACATGGGAGTCTCGAAAGGCACAAACTTGAAGTCATTGGCGGAGTAGCCGACAACAGCAGTGAAAGCCTTGTCGAAGATGGGCCACAGGTGAATACCAAAGGGACGGTCGATGGTAGGCAGCGGCAGCTGCTCGTAAAAGGTAGCGGGAGTCGCAGACATGATGGGCGAGTTAATTGATCGTTGGGAGCGACACAATTTGAGACCACGAGACCCTTTATTAGGTTGAAGAGGTAGAACGGGTTACGTATTCGACGTGGCTTTCTTCTCCAAGACGCGACGACGGTGGGAGGACACGTGAAGGCAACTCAAGTAAAGAGTGACAAGGAATGACTAGAAGAAGAAGAAGTTCTCCGGAGAGATGAGAAGTTTAAAGAAGAAGCCAGGTAAACGGCGATTGTGGGAATGCGTAGAATTAAAAAGGAGAATAAAAAGGGGAGGAGGAGACTAGAGTTTTAATTGAGGGAGGAAGGACGGATAGATCCAAAAAGGGGAAATTCCCATCCACACCGCGACCGCGACCGCTTTACCACTCATTACCACTGCCTTCACCTGTCTGCACCTGCTGGATCTCCGGTGCCCGCGGGCACTAGGCAGTGGACTCTTTGGACAACAAGCAGCAAAGCAAAGTGAAAGTGGCACCTTGCAACGCATTTCCTTCCATTGAGGTGCCACTAGTACATCTTTGTAAGGGGCATCTCGAGACTTGGCCCAATCTCCATGCATTCATGTTATTTCATGGGCAAAACCCACCCCGGACAACCAAGAATTGACCCGGCTCGTGCGCTGTTGGCTATCTTCCTTTAGGGAATCATGACACGCGCTCGCAGGAAGAAGGACCACACGTGTAAGCAAGCCCCGAGATGAGATTATTTCAATTGGATTTTTTACTTGAATTGCATGTGATATGCCCGGGTAATCCGAGTATAGACAGTAAGATAGGTACTGCAGATATATACACGTGATTTGCACAATGCGCCCAACAAACATCCACGATTTATTTCAGACCAAGCAAAGATGCGGTGACGCTAGACCTCGAGATCCCCTGAAGCTTGCCCTTGCTTAGTAGGCAGGCTTGTACCTGACCGTTAGGTTTGCTTATTTACTACCGCGCCTGACTGACTCTGACCTCTGCCTCCATCTGTCGTGCCTGTTAGCCTGTGCCTGTGGTCCCGAGGCTTACTAGACGCCAAGACTGCGGCCATGACCGGGAGGTGGTACCCATCTGCTACTCATTGGTTCTGCCAAACTCGGGATAAAAGCCTGTTAGACAATCGTCATTTAATATCCGTACTTCGTATCACGATGATAGAACAGCCACACGTAAGCGGCAGTCCCGGGACGGACAGTGGGAACTCTTCATCTGTACTCTGTAAAGTGCAGGCCAAGTTCTGGAACCGTTTAAAAGAGTCGATTGCTCCTCACCTATGAAGTATGCCTGGCATTCTTATGGTGATCCTTTAGTTACTCCTTGACAATTTTATCTCACGGTAAAACTCAATGCAACGATATCGGTAATTACCCCATACCGAATCGATCCGCAACCATCGGTAGACTCGACGTGATTCTTCAAACTGCCTAGCCTACCAAGGAACATTCAATCAAGATTTCGCTTAACAAATGTCAAGTCAGCCTAAATTCTTGTTTGAAGTGCAGCGCATTGTCAAAGCATGGAACAGGCGGCCGTGTGGCCGTGCTTGTGTCATGGTGTGGCTGTTCTAACCCGTCATGCAGATGTCAACCGAGTGAGTGGGTGGGTGCTGTAATCATTTTAATGACAGCTCAATGATTGGTTGCTCTCAATTTCTATCGATTTTCTGTTGCATGACATGCCAATTGATGAATTAGCTGAATCTGAATAAACCCAACTACTGGGGAACCTTGTATCAATTTAGTTCTCAACTATATAGAACCTAGATGGGCTTGGAACTGCTGTTGAACTCAAGTTCTTCTGCAATTAACTGCCAACTAGCAATGACGAATGAAGTGAATTAGAGTAAGCTCTTAAAATACAGTATTATTACTGTGTTTCCCATACAAAAGCACCATGCTTCAACCGTCTGCCGTACAATTCGCACTTGTCCCCACGTCTACGCGATCAGGTATAGCCTCGCCTTAGTCATCACTCTCAGCCCATCCTGTGGCCCAAACAAGTCTGCAGTCATCACCCGAGCCCGGAAAAAGCCAGCCCACTACTACCTCTACCACCAATACACGACTTCTCCTCCGACAATATACAATCACCACTCTTTGTATATCTCCTCCGGCCACGTCCAAAATGTCCGCCTTCATCCGTGTCGCTCGCGGCGTCCGCGCTGCTCCCATCCGACCTGCCATGCAGCCCCTTGTGGCCCGCTCGGCCGTCGCCCGCTTCACCACTTCAATGCCCCGACGAAGCGAGCATGCTGAAGAGACCTTCGAGGAATTCTCCGCTAGGTAGGACATCACCCCGAGCCTCAATGGCCTGAACCCTGCCTTGGAAGTCGATTTTTTTTGGGGGGAAAGTGGAAATATTTGGATTGGCATATTTGCGTGGTTGTCTTGCGGCTGGGGAAAAAGATGCCGCAAAGCCCGCTTAGAGCTCTATCCCCACGCGATTTCCCCCGAATACCTTTCAATACAGCCGCACAGGCTCTCCGCGACACTCAATGGCTAAAATTCGACTTCCCGCAGGTTCGAGAAGGAGTTCGACGGTGTTCAGGATGTTTTCGAGCTTCAGGTATGTCTGCCCCACGGGGTAGAGCTCGCTGCTCTCCGGCTGGCTCCCGAAAATGTCGTATGACTTTTTGGCTTATCAATAAACCGCAGCGCAACCTCAACAACGCCTTCGCTTATGATCTTGTCCCTGCTCCCTCGGTGATTGCTGCCGCCCTCAAGGCCGCCCGAAGGGTCAACGACTTCGGTACTGCCGTCCGCATCTTCGAAGGTACGAATTTTATCGACTCGAGCTCGCTTGCCGTCTGCCCAACCGATTAATGACTGGCACAATCATCTGCAAGATTTGCCAGATCAATGATACACCTGAGCATTGGCTCGTTTCACAACCATCGACGATTTACAAACACGCGATCCTGGTCCAATTGCTAACTTGCTACTTCAGGTATCAAGACCAAGGTCGAGAACAAGGGCCAGTACGAGCAGTACCTCGAGGAGCTCAAGCCCCTCCGAGAAGAGCTTGGCGTGCCTCTGAAGGAGGAGCTTTACCCTGAGGAGAAGTAAATGGTGCCATAGTCTCAATATTTTGAGCCTTGTGTATACTGGATGTTGGCCGAGACGGAAGGGAATCAGACCAAGAGGTAGACGCGGAAGTTTGATTGCGGCAGCCCCAAATCGATTGTGTTTAGTCCCACGCGACTTGGCAATTTCTGCCTTATGTTGATTCCCAAAGTCGAAATGCTTTGTATATTTGACGTACAATTTATTCATCACTAGGTGAATCGTTAAATCCTCAAAATATGTTTACTTACGACTATAGATTACTTGTCGGTTTATCAACAAGGGCATACAAGGGGTTCCTATGACCACGAATACGCTGTGTTCCACAGTCTCCGGTTCAGAACTGTCACTTTGTGCAGCTATGAATAAATAAGCCTGCATCATACAAAACGGTTCACATTGTATATCAACGGATTCTAGCTCATCAGTAGTTGGTATTCGATCGAGGCCATGACTATCCGATGCGCTGTATGTAACATTAAATGGCCTCAAAATATTGACATCATGACGGTTGCTTCCTTCTTTTCCTCCTCCCAACGATCCTTATGTTTCCTGATAATTATAACCCCTCTCATTGAAGAGAGTTCCACCTGGTATTTTGAGCCTGTTGGCTCATGAACTGTGTACCAGGCCCGGAAGGACTTGTTCCTCTACTAGCAGAACCAGGATACACCCGACTGGGCCGTGGACTCACTCCACTTGGAACGCGGGGGCTGCGAGGCATGCTGCCTCCTCGTGTGTTCCGCCCATTCACAAAACTATTAAGTTTCTGGTGCGCTGCAATCAGTTCTGCGTCCCTTTGCTGGAGTTGGGCTTGTAGGTTCGCAATCTGCTGCTGCATAGCCTGCCTTTCCCCAGAAGCCTGCTGTACATGGATAGCCAACAGGTTCTCTGAAGCTTTCTGCTCCAGATCTTTATTCAGTACCTTCAATGCATTGACCTCGTTAGACAACCGGGTTGCTGTAGAATCGACATCCTGATACCGACTTCTCATGAAATCTACATCTGCCAAGGCGACCTTTAGCTTTTCTTCCGTGGTCCGTATCTTTTTTTGCGCTGCAGCCAGTGCGTCTTCCCTTTCGGCAGCTCCGGGTGTCTCTCTTAGACGACTGATCGTAGATTCGAGCTCGACTATCTTCTGCTTGTACTTCTCGTCCTCTTTCTGCTTAGCTGCTTTGGCAGCTTGCAAAGCCGCCTCGGCTTTAGACTTTTCCTTTTCAAAGACTGTTCGATCTTGAATAGCGGCACGATTTGACCACTCAATCTTAGTTGTTGCCTTCTGATAGTCCTTGATTTCCTTGTCAAGACGGTTAATTTGGGTCTTTAGTTCAATCTCGACTTCATTCGCTAATGAGACCTTGCGCTCGTACTCGTCCGCCTGAACACTTTAGTATATTTCCACACTGCATGTATAGGTAGATTGTCTGACCTGTTCCCTGAGTGAGTCCAGGACTACCACGCGCACAGAAATAGTCGCCTCTCTATTGCTGGCCTCTCCTCGAAGCAATGCACCGTCAAGCCATCGCCGTGTTGCAAGAGGCATAGGAGGGTTGTTGGAACCGACTGGTGGGTCTCGAAGAGGAAGTGTTCGCGTTCGTTTGGCATCAGCAGCCTCGCCGTCGCTCTGTACACAGGTCAGTTCTCAAGCAGCTGTGAATGAATATTCCAATATTTCGACACTTACAAACTTTCGCTTATGGCCATTCCCATGCAACTGGTTCACTGCAAAGAGAAGTTGGTTTTGGGACATAGGGGCCTCGAAAATATTAAAGACATCGCGTGGTATTCCCTGAGGCTCCCAGTTCAATGTACCATTGATGCCATTCAGGTAACCCGCGAATATTTCAGCAATTTCATGCGGTTCGCCGTAGCCACGTTCAGGGTCTTCGAGATAGCACCCTGCATGGACGGTCCACGCAAGCATTGCGTTCGTTTGCTCGAGCTCAGACGCATCGTCCAAGCTGTGCAAGCTGACGTGCTCAGCGGAATAGGTCGTCACCATCAAAAGTACTACCGGTGACTTCCGGCCTGTACCAGATGCTAATTGCATCGCAATCCCTGAACGAATATAACGATAGTCAAATCCGATAACAACGTCGAAATTGAAAGGATTGAAATCCTCATTCCATAGAGCAAGAGTGATCCTTGTAGCTGACGGAAAGTTGGTGCGTCGATTGATGCCCTCAGCCGAGCATTCGATCTCCGCAACTTCAGTAAGGGCGAAAACAAGCCGCATGAGTTCTTGATTGCGAATCACGATTAGAATCTCCTTTTCCTTTTCATCCAGAGCAGTCATGAGCTCGAACAAGAAACTAAATTTGGGATTGGAATCACAGCAGAATTTTGCAATATCAGCGCTGGGCTCCGACTCAAGCGCCGTTCCCACAACATTAGGCGGATAATCGCAAATGTCGAACAGCCTGTCAAAAAGATCGCGGATCTTTTGCACAAGAAACCTGCTAGGCTGTTCGCCAGGTTCGCCAGTGAACGGAGCGCTGAAAGCCTCGATCTCGACTTTGTAATCTTTTATTATCTGTCCATAATACGGCCGCTTACTTGCCTGCATTGGAAGAGTGATGACATGTTGTGTATGACCAACTTCTGGCTGAGACGACTGGGATGAGATATCAGATTCTTGTTCATCGGGAATCTGACCCATCGTGATCGAGGGACCAGGGCTATCTATCTCAGAGGGTATTGTGCCCCTGTTTATCAAGTTTAAGGTGTGAGTCGTCTCTAGAGGATCAACGACCCTGCTTATGGCTGCTGGAGAGATAGTATTGGATGGCGTTCTATCATGAGGTTCCTGGCTCATGAGAGAACGGGCGATGGATTCCCTTGAATTGCTGTACGCTCGATCGATCATCTCTCTCATACTGTCGGGTACTGCTGATCGATGAGGGTTTGCCATAATGGATGCCGGCGAGATTGAAGGCGCAGGGGCCTCTGGTGTAGTTCCCAAAGCTTCTGGTTTCCAAGGGTCGACTGAATAGACTGGTTGCGATTGTATGATAGCTTCAGAAGAACTGACAGCAATATCAAGACCAGCTGTGCTGGCACTGAGTATGGGCTCTTGCTCATTTGAGACTCCGTAAGATGTCGCATCTAGGCTTTCTCCATCACCGGCTTGATCTAATACTGAATCAGTACCAAAATCAACAAAGCTTTTGAGCTCATCGGCTGCTAGGCTCCGTGGCTGAGAATACGAGCGCTCCATCTTTCGAGTTCCTAGAGGTGACTGAGATGCACTATGCGTTTCAGACGGCTGTTCAGATCGTCTTTCTGTACTGTAATTAATCCCTGGTTTGTGCTGGGCAAATTGATAATCGCTGGTAGATCTGAGTTCTTGACTATTGGCGTCTCTCTGGGGTTGAAATTCGGAATTCTGGGACTGTGAATGAGCTGCCTGCAGTTCGTTGAAGTCTCCGGGTACGCCAGTCGATTTTGATGAAGAACCCGAAACCAATGAAGCCTGCACACCCTGGCTAGTTTCGAGCCTTGACAGAGAGCTCGAGATAACAGGAGAGTCGTGTATTCCTTGGGGTTGGGTAAAAAATACCTGTGTATTCTGGGTATTGTTGGGAGTAGAGAATTCTTGAATTAAGGATGTTGGTGCTCGATGATCAGTTGGTGGGAAACTGTCAAATGCGTCTCCCCTTACCAGTGAAGGTAGGCGTGACTGATTTGGTTGATGAGAGGGGATGTCTGAACCAGTTGTTGCCGAGTCTGGGACAAGCTCGGCTTGAGAAGCAAAAGGGGTGATCTGGGCCTTGTTCAGACTCTGGGGCACGTTGGGATTCAACTCTGCAGTCAAGTTTGAATACTGCGAGTCTGGGATAATGCGAGAGACGTCGTTACTTGAGGACAGTTGTGCTTCAAGCCGTGTAGTTTCTTCTGAGGGGGGACCCGGTCTCTGAGAAGGTTTGGTACTGAACGTATCGAAGTGACCCTGATGAGAGGGCTGGAAAGAGGAATCAATATCAGGTTGTTGTGACTGACTCTGTTGATCTGGAGGGACGTAAGAGTCAGTACAGTTAGAGGGTTCTTGGGTAGCTCCAGAGTTGGCAGTATCGTTGCGGTGAAAATTTTGGTTGTCTTCGAGTAGTTGGTTGCGAATAGAATCTTCTATCTCACTGTCATCAACTTCGAAATCCTGTTCGGTCTGGTTACCGTCGGTCTCCCGATTTTCGTCGTCAGAGTGGTTGTCAACGCCAGTGTCACCTCCGTTACCGTAGTATAACTGCCCGTCCTCAAAGCAGGCCTCTCTTTGGCTAGGTTCTGGGGATGATGAGTCGAGTTCTGCTGAACGATCGACGGATTGAGGTATTTCGGTTTTCCGGTCGGCTATGGCTTGAACAGGGTTGTGAATCTCTGGACTGCGAGTGCTTTTCCCTTGATCACCTTGCTCAAGATGGCTCTCAGCTACTGATAGTTGATCGGCAGGAATTCCAGGCGTATCTGGTCCCTGTACACCAGCTTGACTCCCGAGGTTTCTAGGATCCCAACGACCAGATAGATCTTGAGAATCAGGGATAGTGTCTTGGCTCAGCTGTGATGTGAACACTAGACGTTGATCATCGTCTTCAAGATCTGAGATTCTTTGAGAGCCACTGTGAACGCTTTGGTACTCAGAAGGGTCAAAGTTGTCAGGCTTACGCAACACAATGGCGAAATTTCGAATAGGTCGAGCAGGAGATTCGAGCGACCTTACAGCTTCGATATCAACAGATGACGCTGAAACGATTGATGGCACTGACTCCTCTGAGAAGGCGGATTCTTGCTCAAGTCTGCGGCGGTTTCTTGTTCGCACGCCTTGGTTAATAGAGTTGGACCGAGAGCGGTTTTGAAGTGATGAATTAAAAGTCTCAAGCTGTTGTCTCGCATTAAACGCAGCTGGCTCAGCTGAAGCAGTACGAGGTGTGAGGCTCCGAAGCCCTCGTCGGGTCCTTGTATTTTGGCGCTCGGCTTCACGTCGTAGCTTCTGGCGCTCCCGCTTGTCCTTTTTCTTCTCCCAATCTTTCAATGCGTCTGCATTCAAGTTCTCGGCCTGTGGAAAGTGTCAGCAAGATTCCCACTTCAACATTTATACAGAGCAACGAACCAATTCCCAGGTTGGCTGATATGTTTCTTGAGAGCCTGGTACCCAATCGACAAGGTACTCGTGTTTAGTTTCGCCGTCTGAGCTCTCAAACCGTTCATCAATGACTGCACGAACAAGATACCAGCCTCTCTTTAAGACAGTGTTTTCTTGTTTGTCTGAGTCTTCTGAACTTTCTTTTTCAGTATCTTCGCTGTCTTGGTCTGGATACTCGACTTGAGCATGCGACCGTGAACTACGCTGGGGGATGCCCGATTTCCTGCGCTTACGAGCAGACTGCGGCTCAACGTCCGACTCACTATCTTGGTCTCTTTTTCTCTTTGATTTTTGATTCAAAGAAGTTCTTTGTTTTCGTGTTTGATTAGAAGCGGTGGCTTTGCGCGTTTTGACCATGAGTACTACAGTCGATAGACGTGCACGCACAAGAGTAGAAGGGAGCGATGATCGCTACCGCTGGTTAGAGTCGCAGCTCTGGCCTTGAGCTACGACACGATTAGACCGGCGACGAGACCTTGCGACGACCTACTACAGCGGTCTACGCTTGGTATAAGTCAAGACTATGCGCGCGCGGCGATAACGACAAGGCTATCTCCAACAAGGAGCTCGGCTGATGTTTTGGGGAACGTCGTAAGTTCCACTAAATTGCACGTGATTGTTGAAGGGACTGGTTTGGGAGAGGATGAAATGGGTGATCAGGGTCCAAACTAATGGACAGGAAGGGGGCTGGCTGGGGTTGGAGAGCGCCTGTAGGTACTAAGCCTGTGGCCTGTAGTTGTAGTATGCAGGTGGGTAGGTGTAGCAATCAATGTAAGTGACACAAGAGCAGTGTTTTGACGCAGAAAAAAAGAAGGAAAAGTGTTTGTGGGACGAGGAAATAGAAAAGTTAAAGCACTAGTCTAGTATAGAAAGTTAAAGGAAGAGTGTGTTGAAATTGGCAGGCAATTGATATACAGGTACCAGTGAAAGTGTGAAGGTGCTCAGGTCAAAGGAGCCGCCTGTTCTTTAGAGGAGGTAAGGCCCAAGTCAGGTGCCCGAGCTTTATTGTTGGATCGAAAGGATTAAACACTTTGGCATAGAACAGTAAATCATCAGACTTACGAGTGGATCCGTTTGTCTCGATAGGTACCACCTAGGTATGTCGCAAGACAAAGAGTGTGCTCAATAGTAGGTACTAATGTATATGTTCGCAGTCTGTGTATCCACGGTTTATCTGGTGAGTTTTGCACCAGAGCAAGCCTGACACTTAGGTACTATGCATGATAGATAGATGGAATAGGTATTCATGCGAGGATAGCAGATTGCGGCAATATATCTACTCGTTCCCTCTCACAAACAGACGTGGCATAAGATGAGTTGGCATCCTTAGCTGTAAATGATGTTTGCTATTGTTCCATTTGCATTTCACATGCTGCTAACCGTCCACTGTAAACGCAACTGAAACGATGCTGTTTGCATTTAATACCACTGTCCGTGCTTTCGGGCTAGTTTCTGCTGTTTTTTAATTTCATTTTTTAATAAAGCCGATTCATTGTATCAGTTCGCTTCCTTTGTTTGGTTGACATGGCGTGTTGAGGTACTGAATATGCACGGTTCCTGGTAGAGCCTGGCACTGCCTCCACAAGGCGATCGGAACGCCTGTAGCGTACTTTCCACCTTGTTCTGACTTCAACAGATTTAACGTCACATTTAGCTACTACTTGGTTCCAGCACAAATCAGCTTCCATCGAGACACGCATATCCCAGTACGCGTATCAATTGGCCCATGAAACTGTCGTAGGTATACAGTCTATGAGAAGATTGTTCTCGTCCTCCGACATCATGGCGGCGCGCTTTTCTATTCAGCCTATTGGCCGATTTGCTGGTGCAAGCCAGCCTGTCAAGCGACCCAAGGTATGAGATCCAAAGTGTATATGCTATGGCGGGCTACCATGTCCCATTCATCTTTTTCTATGCTCACATCGTCTCCAGGAGTTTGCATGCTTCTCTTATGACGACAACCATGAGTTTCGTCTGGATGACTCTTCTCTCAAATACTACTACACCCCACAGCTAGGCGCAGACCTCTCCAAGGGATTTGATACTTTTCAGAAGCTGGATGACACCGGAGATGACCATCTAGATAGCCTTCTCAAGACCATTACTGCTCATGAGCAAGAGACAGGCAAAAAGATAGATGCCAATATTGTTACATGGAGAGGCATGATGACCAAGGTGGGTTGATACAGCCTGTGAGTGAACATGTTGTCTAAGTATCATTTACAGATTATGGCCACTCCCTTTGATAATATGGATGGGTGAGTCTTACCAGCGCCCTCTGTTGTCCCCTTTGGCTTATTGAGGACAGCTTCGAAATGAATGCTACACTATATCAAGTATGCCCAAGATGACTGATCCCTTGTACTATCGCAACACAACTGACATTTCTGTTTCTCAAAGGACTGCATGTAAGAACCTTCAAACCTTTATACTTGTAGCTATGTTGACCTCGGAAGCTTCATTGAGGAGAACAATGCCTACAAGATGGCCTCTAGGTCCAACGAGGGCAACAACAAGCGCAGGAGAGGGCCACCACTAGAAGTCATGCAGTTCTGGGGTATGTCTATTTCCTTTCCAATGTATGCGGCCGGCGCTTGCTGATGTCCATTGAAGGGTACAAGTTCGAGACTCTGTCAACCCTTCCAGCGCCATGGGCAGAAACCCCGCGCGAGTTTATTGAAAATCGTGAGAATGAAGTCGTCAACAACAAAGCACAGTACTGCTCTGTCGTCCGCACAGGCATCGGTAAATCCGTTCTCTGCCTCGGCGGTGAAGTCGATGCCAGTAAGCTATCATGTATTTCTCTTCTTCTCATAGCTGACAACCAACAGTCTGGGACTCCAAGCCCGAAGAAAAGGGAAGCCCCATCAACTGGGTAGAGCTCAAGACGTCCGCCGAGATTCGCAATGCGGGGGATATGGAGAACTTTAACCGTAAACTGATGAAGTACTGGATCCAGTCATTTCTTCTCGGCGTGCCGCGTATCGTTGTCGGATTTCGCACGCGTGACGGTATTCTAGTCGAGGCAAAGGACATTGAGACGCATCGCATTCCTGACACAGTCAACTCCTATCCCAACCCCAAATGGAACGCCGATATGTGCGTCAACTTCGCTGCTACTTTTCTGGATTGTGAGTTTACCGCATTTGACTAGAATGATCGGGATTGGGTCTCTAATAAATTTCTGACAGGGCTTTCGGAGAACGTCACCGATGAGGGCGTTTGGAGAATAAAGCGCGAGCCTCAGTCGCCCACTATCGAGCTTTTTAAAGTAGAAGAGACGGGACACGGTGATATCCTGTCCGACGAGTTCAAGAATGGGAGGATCAAGTTGGCTCTTGGACCTAGTAACGAAAACTGATACTAGCCGAGCTGATAGTTGAGCTCTTGAATTTCTGTCCCAGGCCGAGGGGGGTTTTATTGGAACCAGTCACGTTGAATAGGGGATCTGAAGATATTTTCATCATGCGTTTGATCCGTCCAAACTATCTACTTATCCGCTTCGAGATGAAATGCAATGCAATGTAATGCACTGAACAGTTAAACAAGAGTTGCCTCAGTACCTCCCATGCTCTTTAAAGGAAATATGCCTCGTAACGCCTCGTACACTCGCAGAACCAACGAAAGAACCCCAGAAAAAAGACGAAAAACAACAGACCATGCCGATGAGATCATCACTAAGATATCATCACATCATAAGCATCATGCTAGCCCAGAGTCATTAAATACAGATGCTGTATCCTCCTACGTCTCGCCTTTATCTTCTATGTGATAAAAAGAAGAATCGAATGCAAAACATATTAGTACAAGAAACTCTCGCACACGAACCGAACAGTAGATTAATTCAAGAAGCCATCATGGCGCAATTTGCGCCATGGTGATAATCCATTGATCGTCGATGATGGGGTCCGTATTAGACAGCAGGCCATCGAATGCGAAGACCATCAGACCACCGCGAGTAGAGTACATCGGAGAGCTGCTTGCTGTGCTCCATACCGGATCTGGCTTCCTGGCCAGGGTACCTGTTCTCAATAGCCAACTTCTCCTGGTTAAAGTCTTTCTCGTACATGGTAGGGGTGTCGGCATGTCGGCGTCGGTGACTGCGAAGATGGGGATTGCTGGAAGCCATGACGAGTTTTGCTGGGCTGGCCGCAGGAGTGGTACTCTTAACAATCACGGTACCCTGAGGAGTTCCGTCGTCTGGAGTCTTCTGGACAGACTGTCGTAGGATTGATGCGCTGAGCTTGTTGTCTTGGGCCATGGAGCATACCATACTAGTCATGAGATGGTAAGCTCCTTCAGGGTCAACTGCATCTAAGGCTGCGAAGGCGTCTGATAGTTTTGCCAGCGCTTCTCGCTTCTGCATCGCAGAGGTTTGAGCATGCAGCTCGGCTAAGGAAGGCTCGACGGCCTTGGTATACAGTCGACGTCCAAGCACGGCCTCCTTACCATATGGCTCAACAGGAGTTGTTATGGAAGAATGTGAATTCTCGTCACAGAAGACATCGTCTGACGAAGTCGGTCGGCTGCCCTGACTTGAACTGTCAGAAGGGACTCTTCGGAAAAGGCGCATAGTCGATCCCGAATTTCCAAACGACATGTCCGTCTGAAGAGGTCTCTTGGGGGGAATGGACCCTCGGGGAGAGCCACTCGATCGCATTGATGTGGTGCTCTGAGCAAGCGACGATCGGCGGACAGTCGACTTTCGAACAGTACCAGGTGCAGGAGAGGTCCCACCGAGAGGGCCATCCTTAACATCTAACTTCTTCATCGCCTCTTCAGCGTTGAAGATGGATGGATTCCGGTGCTGCTTGACAGTTGGCCTCTTGGGCGGCGGCGCGACCGACTTTACTGTATCAAAGACCCATTCTTGCTGCTCGTCCTTAGGAGTCATTGACTGTAGGGTCTCTTGGTAATAAATCGGGTGCTTCTGCCTATTCTGATTGGCATCCCACATTTGTCGACGGGCAATAAGCTCCTGCAGTGCCTCGACCTTGCCGGCGTTGCGGATGAAACGGTGGCGAAGGAGGTCCTTCGCGGTTGGACGACGGTCGTAGTCTTTAGTAAGACATTGGACGATAAAGTCCTTGAAGTCCTTGCTGAAGTTGCCTTCCAGACGAGGGGGAGGGTTCTTGGGGATGTGGAAAAGAACCTTCATGGGGTGGATATGACACAGAGGAGGCTCTCCGTTGGCCATCTCCATGGCTGTGATACCCAGTGACCAGATATCAGCCTTGAAGCTATATCCATCTTGCTGGATGACCTCTGGGGCCATCCAGAAAGGGGTTCCGACGAAGGTGTTTCGCTGAGACTTGATGTTGGTCAATTGGGCGGCGACTCCAAAATCAGCAAGCTTGACTTTGCCGGTCTCGGAGAGAAGAACATTAGCTGCTTTGATATCTCTGTGGATTTTGCCTTCATTGTGCAGGTATTGGATGCCTAATAGCAGTTCGCGACAAACGATGGCGATGTGTGTTTCGCTGAAGTTGGCGGGTTTCAGCTATTCCTGGTTAGCAATCGAGTATTCATACTGCGAGGTTTCATCTCATGGTGTGAGACTTACCAAATCCAAGCAAGAGCCACCACCCAGGAATTCCATAACAATCCATAGCTTGTGACCTCGCAGAAAAGATTCTTTGTATTGAGTAACATAGGAACTGGCGCATGTGCTTAGCACAGCGATTTCTGCTTGGATATCTTGAATATCATCGTCGTTGGACTCGAGGTCGATCTGTTGATTGTGAGCTGGTGGACCGGGCAACCGAAGTGGTTTTGGACTTACATGTTTGATAGCGACAGTTTCGCCGGTTGCTTTTTCAATGCCTTTGTAGACAACGCCAAAGCTTCCACCTAGAGACAAAAGGTTAATAAGTTTGTTCAGTAAATGTCAATATGTTCAAACTCACGTCCAAGCTCTTCGAGAACTTGATAATGCTCAGCAACGCCTTCATCAGCCATTGTAACTTGACGTCATGCAATGTCGAGATGTTGTTTGGATTTTGCGCTGTTTAAGCGGAGGAGACGACGGAGACAGATTCGCTAATGTAATGCTGAAAGGCGAGGAATTGTGATGCAGTAAAGATGGTCAATGCCAAGGTCAATCTATGTATGTCTGCTGAAAGAAACTGAAATTATGAGTTGGAGTCGGAGTGTATTAAAAGTCGTGCGGGTGAATGTCACGGTGTAGTCCTGACCGTTGTCTGGGAAGCGGACCCTGTCGAGAAGCTACAGCCAGCCCCTGTCTTTGTTTACTTTGAGCTTGGTTTTTTGAACAGCTACCGGCGCTATAAAAACGGTCAGCCCGACAGTGACGTAAAAATTGGGACAGGCAATTAAGAAGAAATAGTAAAGATTGCTCAATTGGGATGCAGAAAAATTCCAGATATCCCGACAGATGTTCTAGTTCATGGTAGTGTACCAACGCTCAAGTCAGCAGTACCAGTAGAGAAAGTGCAGCTTCGTGGAGTCGTCTGCCAGGTGGTCGCATCCATACCAACTGCTTGTTACAAGGTCTCTCATGACTAGGCCTAGGGCGGGTAGCTTGTGCCGCACTCAGTGGAGGGCTGCGGGCACCCTTCCCAGTCACTTCTTAGCTTGTTATTCCCTGTTAGCCACCCCTGGCACATGTCCTAGTGTCCAGGCTGTTTGATGCTTTGTTGCCAGACAGAAAAGAGCTGGTTAGATGAAATCTATGACGCATTTTCAAGGTTAAATTATGATCACTCATGAGCACTTATTTATGTCTACTTTCATCATGTCTTGTATTTTCTTACACTCGCCAACACACTAAGGCAAGGTACCGGCCGGGTTGAGTGGAGGTAGCAACGAAAGACTCTGTTTCCAGGCACAAGAACGCACGTCACGGAATCGGACAAGGCTGTTGTCGGGTTCTCAATGACTTACTGCACGCAACGGCCGAGACTGTCGATGGCTGTTACGGTCTTTATGAGGAAAGGCTGCGTCTCAGACGTTGCTTTGGTTAGAAAGACACGCAGTCACACGACTTGATAAGTCAACTGAGATCGATCATCTCATCACAAATCATGACGTTCAAGATTGTGTAGTATTGAAAAAAGTAAATTGATGTATGAAGATTATTCATCTGGTCTACATGATGATTCCCATCTCACATGAACGGCTTCACATAGGTAGAGATAATGTGTGAAGAAGCTAGGGATCTAAGGCTGTCTTCGATGTTCCACTTCTTCACAAAAAAAGTACTTTCTTAAAGCATACAAAATCAATCAATATGAGCTCACAGCTAGATGGCCGAGGGTTGGCCAAGTAATAAGCCAATCATACATGGTTCTTGGTGACAAAGATGCATATTTAGGAGCAGATTATAATTACCATGGCATAAGTGAACAGTGCCCCGTTTTGACAAACAAATCCATACACTGGATCTCCATACCCCATCAAGGGCCTTGTTTGTTATAAGCTCTGATCTTCACGATCATGCAACGCAACAAGCCCCCCCTGGAGGGTAAATGGAGACTTGACGGGAAGTACGTAGCAAAAGTGTGGGCAGCCTCACTTCAGGTTCTAGACTGGCAATGCACCGGACTTTTGATAGTAGTAGTAGTATTATGTGCTAGAGTTCAGCTACATGGAACATTGCATCTATTCCATACTCGGCTACATTGTCTTTAAGCATTGATCTAGATTCAAGACGGCAGGGAGCCTCAAAATAGTAGCACAACAACAACAAATAGGCAGGTATTCATTCATTCCTCTAGCAACAAGAGTTTTTATCTGCTGTTTTTGGTTAGTTATTACAACACCCGTAGTTGATGTTGTTTGTCAGTAACACAACTGATGCAGAGTGCCTTTCTTTTTCCGATAGACGCAGACTAAATTCCGATAAAGGACAATTCGAAAAAGAAATGTTTGCAGAATAAGCGTATTCACCACGAATCACCATCGAGATTACTATCGAATTGTTTCTGTTTTACTTCTTCCATGGGATGGGTTCATGGCTCTTCTTCCCCTTGCATGGTCCTAGCTCAGATGGGCGGTGGGACAACTCAACAACCCCCGCTGATCTCGTGTTACCGTAGCAACCTCGACATCTCTCAGCTTTCGTGACGCCAGACGCTCGAGCACCGCGGCTGTCCTACCGCTTTTTTGACAGGCGGAGCTTCATACTACCTATCCTTCATTACTTACTTCGTTTTTTCAAACCGTTTCTGACGTTCTTCTTTTTTTTTTTTTATCAGAGCGTTGCATCTCAAGATTTACGTTCGGTCGATAACAAGTAAATTTAATTCCACGTTTTTGTGGTAATTATCTTTATTGCTCGCTCTCTCGCCAGCTCATTCATTCATTTCCACACCATTGCGGGACATCATTTTGGTCTACCTTGCGTCACTTGTTTTTGGTGTTTCGACAACCTACCTGATCTCGACAAAATTGTGTTTGATATGTGTTTATCTACAGTCCGATAAAAGTCTCCTGCAACGCCTCTCGATTTTGTTCGAGTCCAAATCTTCCTACTTTGGGCCTTGTTTAGTCTCTGCTCGAATTGTCCGCATTACATATTTACAACAATGCCACCCGCAGCTCCACCACTTCCATCGCGGTTCCCATGTTGGTGTAGAGCTGTATACTCATGGGGAGGAGAGGTTTGTTCAAAGTCATTGATAACTGCTATAATATACTAATCAACAACAACAACAACAGTCAAAGCGAGATCTGGGATTCATTGAAGGGGATTTGATAGAATGTCTCAATGCTGGCGATGGCTCGTGGTGGGTGGGCAGATTGTACCGAGATCGACGAACTGTGGGATCGTTTCCTTCCAACTTTGTTGAACTTCTTCCTTCTCAATTCCGCCCGACGACCAAATCTGTTCCTACTCCGGCATCAAACAACCCATCCAGTGCGCCGTCAAAATCAAGAACGTTCCGAAAGCCTTTTGAAGCATACGCCAAGGCTCCTCATTACACCAGCGCCAAACAGCCCGAGGTCTTCAAGGAGACACCAAAGCCCAAGGAACGACAAAACTCAGGTGCCTCATTCGCCCCTAGTACTCATGAAAACGAACGAGGTCCATCACCTGTACCTCCGAGACACGACCACCGAGCTCCTTCACCAGCGCCCTCTCATAACTATGGCTCACGAGCTCCCTCTCCGGCACCACCCATGCAAGGCTATCATTCGAGGGCACCCTCGCCAGCACCACTCATGCACAATTATCAATCGAGAGCCCCTTCACCAGCACCACCCATGCACAGCTACCAGTCGAGAGGCCCTTCACCGGCACCACCTCATAGCTATGGCGCAAGAGGGTCTTCTCCTGCCCCTCCGATGCACCATGCTCAAGGTTACGGCGGGAGGGGTCCATCACCTGCCCCTTCGTTCAACCGTGCAATGGTGCCCTACCGAGGAGGACAACAGAGAGGTGACTCTCCACCGCCCCCACCCCCACCTCCTCACAGACAAATAGCGAGAGGGTCAATCGATTTACATAGGAGCTCTTTTGACATCTCCCGCCATGGATCCAATGCCTCGTTCAATCCTCTGTCTCCCTCGAGACAAAATTCCGGCAACTCCTACCGGCCGTCACAACCACCCAACCCCCCTCAAGCACATGTCAGGCATGGGTCCTTCGATGACAGATCTTATACACCATACACACCGGGCAAATCCACTCCTGTTCCACCATCTCCTGCAGGAGGTATGACGCCCTCACCCTTGAGAGAAGCAATGGATGGTGTTATGGAACAATTAGACGTTCTGGGTGGCGGTCTAAATCGAGCAACTCATGCTCCTTCACCTGCACCGCCTGCCGACCCCTGGTCACCGGAATCTTTTGATATGTTATCTCATGGATCTAATAGGAGGATCCCAGATCGAAGCAGGCCCAAAAGCTCAATGGGAATTGCACCAAAGGATGAAGGCTACGAGACGTGGAGCGGCGAGTCTTCCCAAGAGGTGTCTTATCAGAATGGTGGACGAGACGATAAACTTAGCAGTTATGTTGACCGCATGGAGAAGCGTTTCCAGCAAATGCACCGACACAACTCGAGATCCGGCGAGCAAGATGATGACCAACCCCCTCCTCCGCCTCCTAAGAATATGCCATACGAGAGGCCGAAGTCATCCATGAGTCGTTCTGCTGAGCCTGAACGTAAGCTGCGAGCTCGCAAATCAGCCTATGAGATTGGACGAGGAGTTGCGCGTACCCTCACAACGAAAACCACCTCTACCAATTCATCGTCGGGCAAAGAGAGCAATATCAGCGCATCAACTCAAAGTACATCCAGAACGTTGTGGAGTGGAACTTCAGCAGGTGCTTTCAGTACTACTAGTGCTGGAAGTCTTGCTCGCCTGGGCAATCGGGGCCGTGCTCAAAGTGCTATTGGTGCTAGGGACCTAGAGATTGACAGACCAGATTCGCCTTTCACAGGAGTCACCTATCACAGCAGCCATGCGAGTGACTCTCCCGCTCAGCAACAGCGGCCACAAACACAAGTCGGCTTCCACGAAGACCCGTCCTTGGAATTAGGAGGCTTGGTGCAACCAAAACCCCCAAAGCGAAACATATTCCGTAAGATTTTCGATACTGCTAAGACGGGTGTGGCAAGTAGTCGAGGCGGGGTTGTGGGTGGAGGCATGGACTCTCCCAAGTCGCCTTTTGCTCGTTCCATGCCCCCTGGAGCGTCGCCCTTATCTGGTATGGGCAGTACGCCTTCCGGCAGAGACACTGCTACAGAAATGGGCCTTGGTGCTGGTGTGGATTGGGTTCAAGTTCGCCGTGACGTGAATCGTTCCAACTCGCTCAGTTCAATAGAATTGACTGAGCGTCGTGAGCGATGTCAGATGATGGACCATCCCGCCCTGAACCCTGTCGATGAGCTTTATGACGGCGTCGAAGGAGATGAAGGCGCTGACGGAGAGCCGGTCCCCGAACCCGTCGACTATCAAGCGATCAACTTATCTCAAGTGGACAAGAATTCACGTTTCATTAGTGGCCTCCCTCCTGCCATAACCGCCATTCAGCTCGCCACCACATACGTGTGCCGGCCGTATAGAAGTGACGTTCAGCGGCTGCGAGCTATCTTCACATGGGTTTCCGAGAAGATCATCTGGGAGGAAGATTTTGAAGGCGAGATCGACACGACACGAGTTATTCAGTCTAAAAGAGCCTGTGCTGAGGAATATGCTGTGCTGGTGATGGAAATGTGTGCTTCTATTGGCATACACTGCGAGATCGTGCGAGGTTATCTCAAGACTCCAGGCGAGGTCTCGGAAATCAACATTATGCCCCGCCCCAACCACTGGTGGAATACTGTATTAATCGACAACGAATGGCGCATGATCGATTGCTGCCTTGCCAGCCCCTCGTACCCTCGACGGGGCCTATATTCGAACGCAAATAATGCCGCCGATACCTGGTGGTTCTTGACGCGGCCAGTGGAAATTTGTTGGACACATATTCCCGAACACCATAGTCAACAGCACATCGTCCCTCCCGTGGCACACGAAACTCTTTTAAATCTGCCTTGCGCTTGTGCGCCCTTCTTCCGCAATGGATTTGAGATGGTGGACTACAACACTGCTTCGACCAGGATAGAGGACTTGGAGATGGTTCATATCAAATTCAGTGTCCCATCCGACGTGGAGATCGCCGCAGAAGTCGAAGTTCGAGGCTACTCGCGAGACTCGGATGGGGATGTGTTTGAAAGTGGCGAAATAGTCAAGAAGAGAGCACTCGCTCAAGCAGAATGGTTCAACGGCATCAAGCGGTACACCGTCAAGGCACTGTTACCTGGCGATGAAGGGCAGGGCACCTTGAAGATTTACGCAGGCAAGCGAGGACTTATGCACAGCATCAAGGATATTCCACATCCTCTTGCTTTTGCGCTGCCCATTGTCCACACTGGTGAAAACCCGCCTTACGAGTTCGTCACGAGGCATCCCACTCCTCACGCACAGCGGCACGATATCTACGTGGTTCAGCCGCAATGCCAGCGATTAGCTCTCAACAACACATTTGTCTTCGCCATCAGACAACATCCCAGTTCGCTAACAGGCGCGTCAGCCCTGACACCATCATCCAATCCAGGGGCTACAAGTCCCATACCATTTGTCCGTCCTAGTTCAGCGCTGAGTATGGGTGCGTCAAGTGTTAGTGGCTCGACTCCAAGCTCAGCTACGGGCACTGTTGCTGGGAAGAAGCCTGCCAAGCTGGCCATTCAAACGCCTGGAGGCAAGATCCTCCGTCTTATGAGGAAGGAGGACCGTAAGGGCATTCATGTTGGTGGCAGAAGTCTCTCGGGCAGTGATACCGCTAGTGACGGTGGAACATGGGAGACAATCATCAAATGTTCAGAGAAAGGTGTATGGAGAGGCCTTGTGCTAGCAGATCGCACAGCGCGGTGGTGTGTCTTTGCCGAATGGGTTTGTATGGGATAAACGTGCTGGAGGATTTCGAAACGGGCAGACGTCGTTGGAGTTTGCGTGCATATCTTGTTTTGTTTTTTCCTTCTAATACCCAAGGACGATCTTGCATGCCCTGCCACTTAGCAGGTACTATAGAGATGAGCGAGCGTTGGGCTTGGATTTCTTTTGACTTGGTGGGATTGATCTGTTATATTGGGTTGAAAAATACGACAACAAAGACATGGTCCAAAGCTTATCACAAAGTGTAAGATAATAATATCCATGCCATGAGCAATGACGATAGCGAATGATGGACAAACAAATTTACTTTATAATTCACCCACCACCTTCTAAATATTTATGCATTTTCCATTGTGAAGTAGAGTTGGATCAATTAAATTTAGTTTATTTAGACTCTCACGAGTTTCATTGTGTTGGTTGATTGTTGGTCTTATTAGTGGCAGTTCCGCAATTACTAGACCGAAATCATCCAATCACGTTGCTCTGCGACACGATGATTAGGATCCTGTCGCACCGTGTTTCTCATCCTTTCACGATTTAGACCCTACACAATTGACAAAGTTGCTAACACAAGTATTGACGATTTGACGACCGACGCCGAGACGATTTTGGGTACTTGAACTATAAAGACTCGGCTGCCCGGACGACGCGACACGAGCCATCGTGAGTGGGAGACTCAACGACCGAACAAAGCAGACCATGAAGCGCAATCGCGTTTGTTGCGCCGAGTGACGACAAGACAACTCGAATTTTGAGGTCGAACCGATAGGTCAAACAAAACTGAAGGGACCGAGAGACCATGAGTTACAGGCCTTTTCATGGCCAGGGGCAGGGCCAGCAAGGCTCCCAGCAGCCAGTGCCAGTGCCAGTACCCGGGATGAATCCGCCTTCGTCATATTTGCCAAACGGCTATCAACAATTTACGAGCCCTCAACAGCAGCAGCAGCAGCAGCAGCAGCAACAACAACAACAACAATACTACTCAATGTCCCAGCAACAAGGACAGCAGCAGGCGTACCATCAGCAGCAACAGATGGCGCAGTATGGGGGCATGCAGACGGCTTACCAGGGATATGATGCAACGGGGCAAGCATATGGGAATCATCAGCTGCAGCAAGCTGTAGCGCAATACGTTCCCCCATCAAATGTATGGCAACACCAACAGTCACCGGGTGGACAGAATATGATGTATCAACAGCAGCTCCAGCAGCAACAGCACCACCAACAGCAGCAGCAGATGTATCAACGGCACGTCGCGTCACCGCAGCAGCAGGTCCAACAAAGACGGCCTAGCCAACATATGCCTTCACCGCAGCAAAGAACACCGTCTATATCTCAGAACCAAGGATATAGGCTTCCGCAGACCCAGGCGCAAGCGCAGCAGCAAATTCAGCACCCTCAGTATTCACAGCATCCGCCACAGCAACAATACCAACAACACCCTCAGGCCCAACAGCAACCACAAACGACGGTCCTCCAACCTTCACCCCAGCCCGTTCAAAAACAAATCCCCTCGCCAGCTCCGCCACAGGTGCTACGAGAAACGCAACATAATCAACGGCCCCGCCAAGACTTTCATCAACAGCCACAACAAACAGTTCAGCAAACTGCGCAGAAGCCGATCGAAGAATTCGTTGCTGAGATCAAAGCTGAAACTAATACCGAGCCGGCGCAATATGAGCCTATTCAAGCTGGGCCGGAGCAGATGCATTTTGTGAACTTGCAGGACATCCAGAAACTACCCTCACTTCCTCCAGTTGCCATGGGGCAGAAACAAAGCACTGTTTCTCCTCCCTCGCAGCCTGAGCAGGCTAGGAACTGGCCTTCCCAGAATGATGCCAACACCATCAACCCATCTGATATCATGCTGAGCAGCCCCCAGGCTCAACCTCATCCGCCACCACAGCCTCAACCACAACCACAACCACAACGGCAATCTACACCTCAACAGTACCCACAACAGCAACAGCCAGCGCAAGTGCAACCACAAATGACAACTCCTCGGATAAAGCCGAGCCCGCTTTCTTCTGTCGCCAACTCTCCTGCGATTAGCGCTCGCTCTCCGAGTATCACCAAGAAATCACCGGCTACTACCCCTAAAGCTCGGCCTGTAGACACCGTGCATGTCATGGTCGCTGTAGCGGAAGAGTGCTTCGATAAAGCTCGTAGTTCTGTCCACGATGTCGCCATGTCCATGAACACTACACGTATAGACGAGTATCAAAAATTGATCTCGACAGGCCTAGCATGCTTAGAGGCGTGTCTGCAAAGTAGTCGGCTGTCTCCCCGTCAAGAAGCCAAGATGCGCTTGAGATATGCTACTATTTTACTAGAAGAGACAGAAAATTCCATGGAAGCTGAGACTGCCATTACGAAAGGCATTTCACTTTGCGAAAAAGTAAGCGAGCACAGGTCAAGTTTTTCATGTGGCACGACTAACCGATTTAGAATGGTTTGGACGACCTCAAATACTGCATGCATTATATCAGGTTGAAGCTCTTGTTTCAGCGGAACCATAAAGCCGCTTTAAATGCAGCTGATAGACAGATTGCTGACTGTGAAACGTAAGTCTATTACTCATCTGAAGTCGTGCAGTCACTAAACATAACTATAGCTATAAGCATCCTGATTGGGTATATGCGTTCAGGCTACTAAAGGCCAATTTCTATATGGAGCTTGGCCGGACGGCTGATGCCAGTGCTCTTGAGAACATTCGCTCCGTCCAAGTCACTGCAAGCAACCGCGGCGACAACGCGGTGAGCGTGTTTGCCTCCATTCTCGAAGGCCTCACTCTCCTGAAGGCTTCCAAAGATGGCAACCTCGAAAAGGTTCAGGCCTGCATTGCGCAGGTGGCCAAATTCCAGTTCGATGAATCAGTTCATATAATGCAGCTTGATGTACTTACTCTACTTCTGGACCTGGTCTCGAGTATCAATCATTCTAGCCTGGAGTTGACGTTGCAAAAACTCAAGATGTTACAAGACCGCATGGATGGGTGTGAGGATTGGCACACTGTCAAGTCCGATTTCCTGATCCCCGTAAAGAAGCAACCTTCTACAGGACATACAATTAGCAGCGACACAGCCGGTATTATTCGAAGCGGAGGGGACGCGCCAGTGAACTATTTGGTTATGTCGTTCATGACTAAGATGGAATTAACCTCGCTCATGTAAGTTGACGCTCTTCCCGCCATTGCATTATCTCAACTGACTGAGCGATAGCTTCACTTTTACGGGCTTGGTAAACATGCACAAGTCAAGTGCGCATGGTCGTCGGACAGCGGAATTCTGGCAAGAAGGTGTTAGAGTTCTCGATACTTGTATGTGGCATCTCATCTTTACTGGTACAACCTACTAACATTATTTAGGGGATAACACAACTGCTGGAATCCCATACGGACCATCAACCTCACTGCAGGACGCCATCTCTCAACGCGAGTGGCGATTAGAGGCTCAGTGCTATCTTACCGCTCTTCTCGGTCTTTACGCAGCCAGTCACTGTCAATGGGAATCGGTGAAGCAATCTATGCAGAAACTTGAGAGTCTTTTAACGCCATCTACACAGGGTATTTTGCGATTACTCGCTCTCTATCTATCCGGTGTCTATCAGCAGGCTATAGGAGACTTACGGTCGGCTATGGAGCTTTTCCAAAGACCCCAGTTCGACCTCGACCAGCGTGGAACTGGCGTTAAAGCTGCGCATCGCGAATTAGCTATGCTAGCTGGCCTCAACAGACTTTGGATCATGCAGCATCATTCAGAGAGAAACGACGCGGAAACACTCGATTTGATAGATCGACTGCACCCGCTGTGCGCCAACCATCACAACGTCGATTTGCGGACAGCGTGGCACAATGTCATGGCCGCTGTCGTTACGGAGCCTCCTCAACAGCTCAACCACCAGAAACAGCATATACAGGCTGCCATGGCCGGATCCAAATCCACTAACAATGTTTTGGGGGCTGCCGTCACGCTCGCTATCATGCGCAGTCGACTGTTTGAGAACGTTATCGGCGAGCAAGCGCTTAAATCTGCCATGGCAGCAGCAAAGCAGGCACAACGCAGTGGGAACGTTTTGTGGCAGAGTGTCGCAGACGGCATGCTGGCTCAATCGTACGAAGTACAAGGCCATCACCAGCAAGCAGCGTATGAATTGGCGAAGGCCACAAGGGAAGCGCAGGAGGCATTCCCGGCACCCTGAAAGAAGAAGAAAGCGGCGTGGGAGTAGAGTTTGCAAATCCGGCGTTCGAGGCAAGGAGTTTGCCCGCATTTTAAAAAAGGAATTATTTTCATGTTTTGTATACCATATTCGAAGGGGTTTGTGGAGGCCTGTACGATACCTGACCATACATATTTGTGGTCTCATCTTGATGGAAAGGGTAGAGGTAATTAGATAACGACCAAGGTCGCCTTTTTAGCCGTAACAACGGCGTCAATTCATATCTTGGACTCTATCGAGTCTTGAGCTTACTGGCGGAAATCTTTTGCATGAATAACAAGTTGTGATGTTTGTGAAGATGGCGATCACCGACGGAATCCAGGAGGTGGTTGGAAGCCCGGAGGAGGCATGAAGCCAGGTGGAGGGGCTCCGGGAGCACCTGGAGCAGCTTGAGGAGGCGCAGGGAAACCTGGCGGAGGAGCAACCGGGTAACCTTGTGCAGGAGATCCCGATGGTGGTCGGAAGCTGCCTGGGTGGAAATCGGCCGGGTTGGTGTATCCGGCCTGTGATTGCGGCGGTCGCGCGGGTAGACCAGATGGTGCTGGGGGTAGAGGGACGGCACCTCGGGGAGGCATTCCAGGCGGTGGAACGCCAGCATTGTATGGTGAAGGACCTCGTCCAGGAGGTGCGAAACCACCAGGTGCGACCTGGGGAGGTGCACTAACGGGCATTCTTCCCATGGCTGAGGGATCGAAGCCAGCTGGAGGCGCAGCGGCAGCAGGTGGTGGTTGAAGGAATGCCTGAGGAACTGGCTGCGCCTCAGGGACGATATTGCGCTTCTTGGCTTCAGCAGCGAGTGCTCGCTCAGCTTGGTCACCGTGTCTCTCTCCCTTTCCATCCTTCTTGAAAGCATACTGGACTGAGACCTCTTTACTCAGAATATATTGGCCGTGCAGCGTATCAATAGCAGCATCACTGCTCTCAAAGTCGGCAAAGCTGACAAAACCAAAGCCCTTGCTCGCTCCAGACTCCTCCCTCGCGACCTTTGGCAGACTGAGCAGTGGACCAAAGCGACTGAACGTATCATAGAGGATCTTCTCGTCGACCATGGAATCGAGGTTTCCGATGAACAGCTCGGCACCAACTTCGGCGGCTCGCTGTTTGTCTGCGCTGGCTTTGTTAACGCGCAGTGATTTTCCGTACAGTTTTATGCCGTTCATGACGTTGGCCGCGTACTCGGCGTCGGTGGGCGTGCGGAACTCGACGAAGCCGAAGCCCTGGTGTGTCTGCGTAACGCGGTCGCGAGGCATGTGGATGTTGTGGATGGGGCCCATCTGAAGCATAATCTCGTATACCATGGCTGATGTCGCGCGCTCGTCGATGTTTCCTATGTAGACGGTTGCCTCCTTGTCTTGTTCCCTGCAGCGTGTTAGCTTGGCTTTTGCTGGTCGCGTTGCGTTGCAATGCGTTGCGATGCGATAGGAGTATGGGAGAGCTTTACCAGTGTCTATTTTGCGCCATGATGACGAATTGTGAAGAGACTGATGTCCCTTGAAGCTCTTACAGTGTGTAGATTGACGAGGAAATGACAAATTGACCGGAAATTTCAGGTTGTGGTGAAGAGATAAAGCTGGCTATCACCTTTGTATGGAGCTTCTGGAAATTTTGGCTGAGGTTGAATAGAAAGACGCAACGCAACGCCTTGGCCTTGTCGCATGCGCCACATTTACCTGTAGATCAGTAAGAGAGAAATTGTGGCGTCGACCGAGGTTCTTCCACCTCGTCCGCGATTCGGAGGTGGAATTTCCAGGCCCCGGTACCTTGTTCCGAATTTTTTGGACAGACGTCAACGCTTTGCTTTGGTCTGCCTTGTCTCGCCTTGCGCTCAATAGATCATCAGCCTTGAGCTTCGAAATACCTCGGTCGAGCTACGTCGTGTCGTTGTGTACTTCTTTTTCGAGTTGCTTTTAATTACAAAACTTGACCTAATTCAAGATGTTTGCCCTTTCCGAGGAGTCCAAGGTGCGCTATAGCTTGACATTGCCATTGATTTCTCGGTACAGCTTCTCTAACTGAAATTATAGGAGCGCATTGCCAAGCTCATTGACGTTTCCCGCGTCGCCATTCACTAGTATGTTGATGCATGTATCTTACTACAAGACATTGACTAACAGTTATTGCAGTGGCTACCTTCCTCTGATCCTCTACCTCGGTACGAATACCTCGAATAACGACGATCTGCAATCGCGAAACCAATACTGACCATCTCTTCCAGGCTACACTCGCAGCGAGCCCCGACCTTCCGTCATCCGGTATGTCTCGAGCTTTACTAACTATATGTATCGCAGTAACGCTAACATGATTTGTCTAGCCTTCTCTCTCCCCTCTCTTAAGCGAAGAGCAATTTTATAATGAGACGAAATCAACGGAACAGTGTACGATATCTTGTAAAAAGATGCTTTACGACGCAGAGGGAAAGGAACGATCACCAGCAGCATCCATGGCGTTAGTGACGACAAGCTGGGAAAATGTTAGGAAGATAGGAGGGGTGGTTCTGTACGAAGTGAAGGGTGTGAAATATCGCCGTGTATCATCCATCTTGCAACACTAGGATCAAGGACTAGGAAAGCCCAGAAAAAAGGGAAATCCACTCATAATTAGAAACTCGTGAACCAAACTCTGTCTCTGTATTTTTTGCAATCGGGAAATCTATCAAGTGCTGTCGGTTTCATGCGGCAAAAGACCTCTAATTGCGCTGGTGACGTCGAACCCTCGGTTGAACTAAGTACTAACTAACTACTAAGTTGCCCATTTTGAGCTCCGCTGAAATATCTATCAACAACAAACCCAACTTCAAACAACTTCACTTCATATTTATAAAATGTGACAGGCGATATTTCGGGATAATAAGATCAATTTTTCTATATGCCCGACTTTAACAATGCGGGACTCTCGCCCGCGACCATTGAGTCTATCGCTGGTCTCAGTGCTGGAACTGTCTCAACTTTGACGGTGCATCCTCTTGATGTAGTCAAGACTCGAATGCAGAGTAATACTCTAACTGATCCCCTCTTATTCGGTAACCACGATATCTGACACAAGCACAGTCTATCGCAGCACAGCTCCTGGTGCGGTCCGTCCAACGACGGTGTCTATCCTTCGCGCACTGACATCTACACCTCACCCGATCGCCTCTCTCTACCGCGGTCTAACGCCAAACCTTGTTGGAAACGCCTCTAGTTGGGCTTCTTTCTTCTTTTTTAAGTCGCGCTTTGAAAACGCTGTCGCTACTTGGCAAAGCCGACCGGATGGACGCCCAACACCGGGTGACTACTTCGTCGCGAGCGCTCTGGCAGGCGCTTCGACGACGACGCTGACCAATCCTATCTGGGTTCTTAAAGTCCGTATGGTATCTTCTGATCGCGGCTCTCAAGGTGCTTACCCTTCTATGCTCGCCGGTGCTCGCTCTATTCTTCAAACCGAAGGCATCCGGGGCTTTTATCGCGGCTTGGGAATCTCTTTGGTGGGCGTATCTCACGGCGCTGTGCAGTTCGCTGTGTATGATCCTATGAAACGATTGTACCACACCCGCCGCCGCGAAAAGTATGGCCTCGAGAGAGATCATATGACAACAGAAGCGACTATTGGGCTGTCGAGTTTGGCCAAGTTTGTTGCTGGTGCTGTCACTTATCCCTATCAGGTTCTGAGAAGCAGACTACAGAACTATGAGGCCGACAAGCGGTTTGGACGGGGTATCAGAGGCGCTGTGGTTAGGATATGGACAGAGGACGGGCTTCGAGGGTTCTATCGTGGATTGGTACCGGGTGTGGTGAGAGTCATGCCTGCGACGTGGGTGACCTTCTTGGTGTACGAGAACGTCAAGTATTATATTCCTTACTGGGTTTGAGCAATACGAGCATAGACTGGCGTTGGCATTTGGATTGCCACGGTTGAAAAAAAAGTAGACATGGGCATCATTCGTTAAAGGGAGGCTCGTAGCCTTTTCCGCAAGTCATAATTCGTTTATTCATATCACATAATGGCGTCAATGATCTACACTACCATCAACTCCGGGACTTCTTCTCAGACCTTGTTTGCGCTGCCTTCACTCCTCTTCCGCTTCCTAGCCTTGGCTTCCTCCTCTTTCCTCTTCTCTTCGCAAGTCTCGCATTGACTGGCCGGAAGATAGTGGGTGATGAAGTCAATCGTCGTCGTGCAAGTGCCTGCGTCCGCTTCTGGGCACAAGAGCTTCTGCTCAGTGGCCCGGATACGGCGCTGGCACTTTGTGCAGTCGTACTTTATGCATTCGTCGATACACATGGCTACAGTGTTCTCTCGTCGTTCTTCTCGATGAGGTGTCTCGTTGCTGTGGAAGCAAGTGTTTTATAGCCGTTCTATGATATAGGTCTCTTGTTGCTATGGATGGAGTAGGAGCACTCTCCAGTGGTTGATGCTTTCCAGTTATATACAGTTTGATGTCAGTGATTCTGGCATATTCATTCTAATCGCTGGATTGATTGCAAGCACCATCAGCCTAGACATTTGCTTGTGTGTTTCTTCTTGGTCGTGATGCCGTGAAACAACCCACGAGCCTCTGTTTGCCAATCGCGAAAAGCATGGTATAGACGTTGTACCATTCAACAGACGGTAAATTTGGACCACCAGAGACAATCTCCTTTGTCCTTCATTGTGCACACTTGGAGGTAATTTCTGTCAACAGTTCAGCAACTTTATGTGTATCATACTCATCAAATGGCAATGCGTATATTAACACTCCCGTCAACATCATAATCGATATGAATACTTCATTCCACAGTGGCTTGTTAATAACAACTCGAATGTTTGAATAGTCGTGACCAATCAGTCATTGTATTTATGAGTGACAGGAATGACTTCACCAATAGCCATCAACGTGACCAAAACCGACAGCAACGAGACAAACCGCACCTTCAAATGATCCAAACAAATGTAACTATGAGCTTTCAATTCCATTTTGAATTCCACAAGTGACCACGTCACTTGCTAAGTGATACATAAGTGGCACGATGGCTTCATTTCCTTCGAACTCGGGTTACCCTATACCTTGATATCCAACATCACCACAAGCACACCCAAATCAATTCCTCAGACCGGAAACACCGAGAGCTCTCGCAGATTAAACCACTTGAACTTCCGGCCCCTGAATTCTTACCTAGATTCAATTGAAAGCACTCGCCTAAAGCGACTCGAATCCTCATATTCCCGATGGCCAGTCAGAGTCACACCACAAGTTGCGTGAGTGTTCCCGAACTTCTCCGCAACCACTCTCATCTACCTCAAAATCGGTCTGACGGCTGACTGCACAAGATTAACACCAATGGTTCAACCAAAAGGGGACCCGTTGATATTCAGGGTTCCTTTTTCGTCCATGTGAAAACTCTTCACGGCCAAAAGCGGATGTGAACTATCCTCGTCGAACCAGGGCTCGATCAAAGCGGCGGAATCGGTCGAAAGATTGAAGGAAGCAATACGCCTCGTCCATCAACCACCAAAGGAATAGATTTACGATCAGGCGATGCATCGATGCCCAGACCGACAAGCATCACGACTCATCACTCACATACTGATGACACGGAAATGACAGCCTGCTTCGCTCCCGTCTAGATCAGATAACCGTGTGGATCCTCGTTCTCTGCCCAATACAATCACATCTTAGAGATAATGAATCGATCGTGACTTCTTGATCAGGCATCTCTCGCAACTAACGAGGGCCCAGTGGTTGAAGAAGCTTAGTGCTCATCAAGATCGAAATCCGTGCAGCAAGAACTTTCTTGCGGTTCTCATGCGAACGACACATCTCATATTTGGTTTGTTGTACCCATACCAGTGCTGGCCAAGCTAAAGCATTCTGGTTCGATATGTGAGAAGCATGCACGTGTTGCTTTACTGCGACGTTGAGGCAGGGCACAGTAGCATCGCGTAGTATAGACTCGCCAGCCTAGACGTTGTGAGTATTGTCTTGCGAGTACTATAGTAGTATTAGAAAATGTTGCCATGGTCGCTAAGAGAGGTCCACAAGATACCTGGAATATTCGCGATTGTTGCCTCAACAGGTATATCAGGCGGGTTATAGTCCCTACAGTCTCGTGATAGCATTGTCAATTGTGACAGGTAGAGAATTCGATAGGGACTTTAGCAATATCGAGACACTCCATGCGAGGACGAATGGTGGGATTTTCAGAATGGCGTCGTATCGTCTCATAGCCAACGACAGGAGAGTTGGAGGATGGAGTCGCATACAGATGATACCCCGTACCCAAGAATATCTGTCAAATCCCATGATACTACTGTCGTCGGATTTGGAGACTTGAATAGGAAGTGATCCCGTTCCATATACGGCGAAACTTGCGAATTTTACGGGACGAGCCGAAGTGCTGGGAGACAGGCCCTTCGGTTGATCGCTTGTCCACCTCCCGGATCCCGAATACTTGGGATGACAGAACGCTTGCTCTTGTCCCCTGTTATCTCCCGGTCTGCCCGAGATTCCAAGGAGCACAGAGATCTTGATTATTTATTTGCATGCTTCGAAGCATGGAATTAGTGTATACGTTCCCACCACCGCCTTTGTGAGAACAATATCAAATAGTGTTTATAGACATCGACGATGAACACCTTGTCATTTTTACCCTCAACAGGATCTCTGATCTAACGAGACAGAGGGACCATGACCAGGGTACACGGAGATCGCTCCCTGGAATGATGCGATAAAGACATGGGCATGTTGAGTATTATTGCTGGTGAAGTTTGCGAAGGTCATCCACCTTGGAAGTTACAGAAAACAGGGTGCGGATGACCTCAAAAGTTAGAGGCTGGGGCCCGAGTTTCGTGGGGAGTATCCTTTTCAAGGTATGCGCGATGTCACCTCGACACCTTTGTTGACCCTGGTCGGCTCCGCACGACGTCTCCCACAAGCTCCAACCAGAGCCTCCAAGATCGAATCTTGCATAGATTAATTACCCTCAGCTGAACTTGTTTACTCGCGAGACGTCACGCTAGAAGAGATCGCATCCCTATTTTGTCCTTGGTGTTCAGCCACGAATCTCAGACACCACAGTCTCGGGACAGGAGACAAGAGACGAGTCAACTTGGTCATCCACATGGTGATCATGAGGGAATATCTTGCATATGCAATTAACCTCAAAAGACAAACGACTTGGAATCCTGTATGGGGGCTTCTCGTCCGTTTGTTTGTTGTTTCAGTACAGGCTACACACACTGCGCATGGCCAATTCAGGCCCCGATAGCGAAGTGTCCCTTGCGTCGCGCAATTATAGCCGTATCAAAACCGATACCACCAAGCCTCCCATCTTGCATAACCTTGATGCGGATTTGAAGTTGTCTCCGAAACAAGAGCCGATCAAGCAGGGTACTCATACTCTATCGGACCCGTGATGGAGGGCACCGAGGAATTTCGGGCACTCCCTTTCGGGACCTCTACACAAAATGCGACTCAGTTTCTCATCGAATCTTCTCTCGTCGCATATCACAAAATGGCGACACCAGTCATGCATCGTAGAATACTTTGGAACGTTAGCTAACGGTAACTTGTTGCTCTAGTTCGTTCGGATAGTTGAAGACCCGGGAAATTGAAGGAGATCAGTGCTTAGAAAACAAGACAATATGCGCATAGTGATTATACAGACTCGAAGTTGCGCAATGCCGTTTCTGAGCGCCATTCGTTCGTTCCCCATGGAATTGCTACCGGCCACTGGACCACAAGACAACATCGCCACAGTTTGGTGAGGCTGCTATTTTATTTTTTGCCTCATTGCCTTGCCTTTTCAAACGTTCGCCTTGCTGAAGATCATGACATTTTTCATGCAAAGTGAGGCTGGAAACCACTTTGCGATTGTCTTGAACAATTGGTCCCGGTCGATACCGACGGGCTGGAAGTGACGCCAGGATCGAGAGATGACCAACTGCGCAGGATAGAGGCGCAGAAGCCACGATCTCACAAGTTGCATCCCAGATTCCTTCGAATTTACTCACATGTGGCGTCGGTTTCTTAGGGTCCCTGACATGGAAATTTGTCTGGGCAGAGGCGCCCCCTTCTAAAGAAAAAAACGTGATTCGCAGCGAAAAAATGATATGTGATGGACTTTAGCAGCGTCGTCGGCGTAGGGTAATCTAGCGGCGGGATTAGTTGCGAAGTAAGAGGGGTCTGGCTGTATTGGATGGGTCCCAGGTTGGAGCCCGATATGCTCTAACATGATGGGGAGTTGGCGAGAAAAGAGACAACAAGATATTTACCCATCGTCATTGGCCCTTCGCTTCTTTCTAGAGACGCCGTAACCAGGACTAGGGTATTAATTGCTTAAGTTGTAACTCGACTGATGAACCTCTCGTTTGTATGGTGGTGTATGTGAAGTGCAAGGTTAGGGCTTGTTGTTTGTTTGACGGACAATGCCGTGCGTCAATATGAAGACATGTCTGAGATTGATTACTTTTGGTTTGATCGATTGTTTGGTCGATAGATTGAGATTGCTTGCTTAATGCGCACGTGTAGTATCTGCACCTCACCACCACCACATGTAGTTTCTGATTAATAGTTTTTTCTTCTTCTTCCAGCGGTCTTGACGATTCAGTGACTGTATCTGGACTTTGTTGACTTGTCATTCTTTTGTATTGCCGTTTAGGTATTGTTTGCGACTTTTGGTGGGTAGAAATCCGGGATCGTCGATGGCATCCGGTGCGGGGGCATGCCGACTTGCCTTTCTTGCTTGGTTTGAGGCTGTTTGAGCAGGGGAAGAGACTAGATCTTGCAGCGAAAGTGACGGGGTTCAGCAAAGATCCATGGCATCGATCCTGGAATGGATGGCTTCCCCTGGTCTCCAAGTATGGGAGTTGAGTTGTAGTTCAGTTGAGACTGAGGCTGCGGGGCGGCGCGTTACCGGGATCGTTCACGACATTCTCTCAGCTCGCTGGGTAGGTATCGCGAGGCGTTTGTCTATCTCGATGGAGTCGTTATTATCCTTTCACTTTCGCCCTTTGGAATGCGGCGCGGCGTCGGTCAGTCAGGGCGAAATCAGATATATCATCTTTCACCTACATGACGTGGCGCGCCCTCTCTGCTACGTTCTCCGCTTACACAGGATCTTGATGTCCACCTGATGAGATGATGAGATGAAGAGGAGATAATACACATGTAGATGTAACATTAGTTCGGCAGATATTATCCATCAGATATCGTGTGTCACCATGTTTGCGAAGTGCAGTATCTTGTGTGGCGTTGTACAGAAAAGTAAGCAGTACCTGTTGAGATTTTAACTTGGTACTAAGATGGTGGCTGCTGGGCGGGCGATCAGATCTTGCTCCTGCCCCGACAGTTCGGACGCCAGACAGCCCAACGTGGCGGGAGTGGCAGCGGGTAAACTGTTTTACGGTAGCTACCTAGACTACAGCCAGCACTGACCTTCTACGGGCTGTTTCTTGCCTTCCGCGTGTTCAGAGGCCGCTGCTCCTGCTCCTCCTGCCTTGTGCGCCGTGCACCGTTCTAACGTTGGGTCAGACGGGATGGGATGAGATGAACTCTGGTGGCGCAGTGCTCAGTGCTGAGGCTCGGGCAGGCACTGCACTGTAGGTACCTATTTGCAGCCCGTGCTCACTGGAGTCAGGTCCACGGCTTTAGCGGTTACAGCCTTATCAGGGGAACCCTAAGTTTTCAGGCTCTCGTTCGTATTAAACCCATGTTGTCAATCAGTGTCTGTGTGTCGAAATTTCGCCCAATTGGGAAGACAATAAAAAGGAAATACTAGCTCCGTCCCGGGCCGGGTGAGTTAAGGGCATTGCTAAGGACCAAGTTAGCTTAGGTACCTGGATTTCGCGCCCAAAGTTGACTTGCTAGTTGACCTTAGTATTGCGCGCTCAGACTGGCGTAACCCATCCAGCTGGAAACCACGCATCTGCCGCATGGCTTCTTAATTGCCTTGGCCTTTTTTCTTTTTCCTTTTCCCTTTTCTTTGTTCATTCCTTCCATCGATGAATGATGGTACGATGTCTCGAATCTGTAACAAGATTCGATCCCACGATTCGATACGGCATTCAACAGTCATCTCTCCAGGTTTATGCAGGTCATAGATTGGAGAAAAACCAAGTATCAGATCGTGATGCGATTCGTTAGGAATGGCTACCTCCTGAGACAACAAGTCCGTTCCAGTCCACTGAACCACTTCCGCGGGTCAAGATCCGCTGAATAGGTGTAGTTGTGACGGCAGTTATGGTCCAATCAATGGGTTGTGGTTTGCTGTGCCGTAGGTTAGAGTTCGAAAACTGAAGCTATCTATGTACCGATGGACACATAGGCGGGGCACCCACATACTATCAAGGAGACAAATACAACACATGTCCTTGTAGAGAGGATAGCTAGACGAGAATGACGTTATAAGTCCGAAGATCTCTCACATAGTGTCTACGTGCGTATAGCGCCCATGTCTCTGGAACAGGCTGTGCGGTACCAAGTCTTGGCCTGTCCAATCCCAGTGCAATCCCTCGATATGGGGTTCTTGTCCTATTGTTACAGAAAGTCGAAGCCATGACCTTGCTGTATGACACGACATGACATACAGTAACTTGGTAGAAGCCATGCATATGACATGACGAGGCATACGGATACAGTTCGGTGGGTAGAGTAGAACCGTGCGCCAGCGCGTGCCACAGCCGCGACTCATTCATCCCTCATGCTGCGCCGTTCAGGTACAGATCCTGCTACGTTCGGCTGTAAATCAGTGGATGCGTGCCATACATATTATTGACCGCCAGGTACAGCGTTCGATCGGTTATCCAGTATAAACGGAGAAACCGTAGTTCGAGCCTCCATATCTGGTATATGGCACGAATTCTGTGGTTCTTCTTATTTCCGTTTTACAGATTGTTTCAACTTTGATACAAAGCCATGAAGGAAAAAAGCAAAGTTGAAATAGCACGCAAGTAGTGATACAATGACGGCGAAGCCCCAGATTTAGCCGCCCGTTTCTTCTGATCAAGGCCTCCGGTCAAGGCCAAGGGGATAGCCATGACCAGATTCGAACTTTGTTGATATCTAAATTGGTAATAAAAAGTAAAGGGTCAGCCCCTAAGATAGATCTCATCGGTTCGGTTTCCCCGACCATGGGTATCCCAGTTGGCAATGCTTGCGAGTTTACAGTAGACAGATTGATGGGACGATCAAACTGTGGCATGGGTGGGCTTGACCCGGAGGCGCGTAACATAGATCTACCAAAAGAAAAGAGTGAAAGGAAGGGGGAAAACAAATAAAAAGGAGGATCCACCCAATATCTATGTTTTTTGTTGTCAACGTTGCAATGCGCAGTTCCAGCTCGCAAGCTGACGCTCTTCTTGGAAGCAGGGTTACAACGCGCCTCTCGTCATGCAGAGGCTAACTGTCGATCTTGGGGGTCAATACAGCCTGGCCTGACGTCTGCCTCGCCTGAGATTATCACCCTGGCTCATTTCGAGGTTCAATGTTACATATGGTCCCAATACAGTGGGCCATGAATGGAAATGCCGTTACGGTGAGAGCTGAGAACACTTTATTGAAAATACATACAGCTGCGGATACGAATGAAGGGTTATTATCTGTCCGCAAGGAGAGGAGAGAAGAGGATAGTAAAATGAGATGGACGGACTGGTCGGTTGTGTTTGAAGAAAATGTGATTTATCAACTGGGGCAGCGAACAGCGAACAGCCACAGCTGCCGGTTTCTACGAGGTTTGCTTGACCCTGCTTTATCCTGACAAGGACGAGGACCAGTCGAGGTTCGTCATCTGCCACTTGCCCATTGTTTTGATTACCAGTATTAAAACATACTCTCGCCTAATCAACACTACCAGCCGTCGGACCAAGCGGCACTCGAACCGGATCTCTTGGTCTGAGACATGTATGCCAGCATAGCCATAGTTATCCCTTACAGTAGGTATCTACCAGATTTCGTACTTAGTGATGCTGGTAAAACTCCCTTGCTTTTATCGTGACCGCATCATTGTTACCCTACACTGACGACCAAGGTCAAGTGGGGGGGGGGCCTCAGCGTCAGATTTCTGTTACATTCCTTTCTCATTTTGCCTGCTGAAGACTATACATCCTGTTCTGCAAGGTACGACTGCAACCTTGGAAGCTTGGCCGCCCTTGTGATAACAGCCACACCCCCCTGATGGGAATCCGCTTCCTCGCTTGCTCAACCAATTGCCGCAGAGTTGCATCTCGCGCAGTACCTATTTTGGAATACCGACCAAGGATCTCAGATTCACCAGGAAAAATGACATATCGTAAGAATCCAGCTGCTCGGGGACTGGGCTTAGCGGAGACAGGCTGTTCCTGTTACGTTGGCCTTGTTGTATAGTAATCAACCAACCGCAGGTCAGCGACATGTTGGCTTGGTAGAAGATGAAATAGTGCGCTTGAGGTGAGAGAATGGAGGACTATGGGTTGTGCTGTTGTATATCCCATCAACGGTTCTCAAGCAAGTAAAGAGAACAAACACGCTCTAGGCCACCACGTGAAAGTTGATATGAAAACGTGTTGAAGTTGGTGTGCCAAACTAACAACTGCAACGCCCAGGATCACTGACAAACTCTGCAGCATTAGCAGGTGCCCTAATTGATAGTCTAGAGTGCCCCATGAGGAAGATTTATGCTAAGTCAGAGTCCCTGAATCTGTTGCCGTCTCCACGGATGGACATGATCCGCCGTGTCTCCCCGCTTCCACTTTGGCTTGACAATTTCTACCTAAAGTTATCTTTTCCATTTCAAGCAATTCAGGACAGGCACAAAGATGATCAAGGATGGGCGTCGTGTAACAGGCCCCCCCTGTTAGCTGGACCCGACGCTGTGGTGGGGGAACACTGACCTGATGGTGGCACTGACTTTCATCTCACCATAAGCCAGACAAATCCTACGCCTCCCGTAGACGTAGATGAGGTACCTACAGCATCAAGGTTATTAGTGGTTGTCAACTAACACCAACACCTCCCATCCCGCTGTCAAGGCTCAAGCCCGAGCACAAAATATTGAGCTAAAATCAACGCCGTGAATAGCCAACACTCCTTGCTCGTTTGCATAGACGAGATAACAGTTGAATGTCTCAAACTTGATCAAGATAACCGCTGTGCACAGCGCACCAAGAGTATAAAGTCCCGCCCGTGCTATGAACAGTCCAGTCAGTGACTGAGACTCGGAGGGCTGAATCTAACATTTCGGGAGCAGCCGTCCTCGTTGGTGCACCAATCAATGGTGAGTGAACGGCCCTTCTCCGATCTCTCTGGGCCTTCACTGCCGAACAATCGGAGGATGATCGGTCCACAGCCCGAAAACATTGATTCATCTTGTTTTTCCCATAAACACCAGCATCATCAGCTCGACCCAGCTACTCCACGACGGTAAAATTAATCCCTTTCTCCTGTATCCGTATAGTAAAATCATGCTCATTAAAGCAGAACGGCCCTTGCCGGGATGAGGGCACGGAGCACATGCAGGCTGGTTCTTCAGCGTTTGCTCCAAAGCAAACATCTTTGGCGTTTGAGGATTGCATGACCCCAACCAGGTGAGCGAGTGACAAAAGCATGGCATGTGAGACAACCCGATCTTGACACTGCGTGTGCTGTAGAAAAGAAGATGAGAGAAGGGAAAAGGAACGAAAAAGAAACGGTACAGCCTCTTGATCAATGCACCTTAAGTTTGTGTTGGCTCGGAAAGTTGTTTCGACTGGTCCGATTCCTACTTCTCAAGTATACAGTACGATATTATACATGAGTCACATGGATTCTTTTTGAGTCACCAGGTATAGTACTGGTAACGAGTAGATCTTGTTCAACGTGAAGCGAGGCCAGAGAACAGGCGCTTTCACTTGTTCCTTCTTCCCATGCACCACGTCCCTGCATAAAGAATATGAAGAAAGCACAGCAGCAGTTCCAGGCTCCAGCCAAGCATCGAGGCTGGGTCGTTTGTGTTCCCATTGGCATCGGTCTCACAAGGAGGCACATGCTGTAGAGAGCGACCGCGGTGTCGGCGAAGAAAAAGAAAGCAAAGGAAAAGGAAAACCAGAGATGAAACGACCTGTAAGAATAGGAATGAGGGAACCGCTAAAACTGATAACTGATTGCGTTTTGTATTGTGCTGTGCATACATACTATAAATTGTGCATGCATGAGACTAGCTCCAGAGTCGATTGCTGGGAGAACAGCGGACTAGGGCTACAATAATCGCCTGCAGAATTGCTTACAGTCTGGTAGGGTACTGCAGAGATATTTATTGCACCCTGTCCAGTTTCGTGCATATCAGCTGGTGTGGGTGTCCATGAGTCTTGGCAACAAGGGTCCTTCATGGGGCTTCGTCCGCCAGGAACCACCATTATAACTTGAACAACATCGTACTTAGTCTTTCATTGGATAACTGCACAATTGTGATTCGAGACTTTGATGCGCATGAGAGCCGTTGAGAAGTGATCATGATCCAATCTTCCTTCCTTTTCGACGAGTCCGAATCTTCTCTTGATCAGTCCTGGATTGTCAGGGCTGAATGATCCTTTGACCCTCATCACCCTATTCGGAGCACGGCCATATCCGCTGACCCCATCCACCATGCCTAGTCGTTCGAGAGTTACAGGTACAGATAATACTGCGCTCTCTATCTTCAACGTCCTGCTCAAAACGAGTGATATCCAACTGCTCTGGGTGTGGATATCTTGATCCTCGCCCAGCCGGTAAGTTATAGGCAGTTGCTGATATATGCAGTTGAAACAAGGCGCTCTGCACGGCTTTGCTAAACTCGATCCGTTTTGGATCCTTTGATATGCAACAACCAGCGTACCTAGAGCATGCTTCTGAGCTCTTATTACTGTTGATAGATACCAAGGTCCATCGCCTTGAGAAAAAGCGGTGCGCGACCAGTGAATGATTGATCGATCTCGCCGTGCGATGTAACGGGTATAAGGCGGCCGCTGTAAAGTCAAAGAAACAAATGTTTACCCTCCATGGGTCTGCCAGCCGGGCTTGATGGTGCAAAACGGCCCCGCCATCCGTTATCCATAGCCATTGCCAGCCTCATAGTCCTTAGAACTGCCAGTACACACACGTATCTGAATCCATAGAGACCCTGGTAAAGGAAATACCCTGTCTGGCACTCGCCTGGCCTCCTACATCTTGTCTCAGCCTTTCAGCCTCTCTGGGCCATGTATGTTCTGCGCTTCGACGATGAGCATGAGCAGTGTTTGACATAAACAAGAGACTCGGTATTTGATGCTGCCAGCCTTCCACCTATCAAACCGGTCGACTCCAGTAGTGGTAGGGAACCGTGACCTTCATGTGTATCAATCACTCCCTCTCCTGCAAAGAGAGTGTCAATTGGCTACGACAGACCATTCTTTTTACTTCAGGGGATGTACGTGATCATTGTTGGTACACGACAACTGAGAAAGTCTTGACTGGTAATTTCTCATGTTGGTGCAGGGACATGGCTTCGAGAAGATGCCAACGGACGGCCTCGTCTCAAGTTGCGACTCAAAGATTGGATAACGGTACCAAGTCTTGTGCATTAGCGAGTCGTCTCGACTCGCGGCAGTCAGAGGTTGAGAGGCGCCTAATTTAGCACCTCGGCCTTGAGACCCCGCTAACTATGTCGCTACCATTTCTGACTTCTTGCCATTCTCTCGTAAAACATCCTTGCTCAAACCCTGGCAGGTTTTGCGGGCTGCCCTCTCAAGCTGCCCCAGATATGGGAAAGGTGAAGTTGATTCTCATTATATTTTCTCCGATAGCCTGAAGCGGTCACAGAGTTCTGGTTGTATTGTTAGCCACTCTTATGTACCGCCTTTCGTCACTCGGCATATGAAATCAACGTGCACGAGCAAGGTCAGCATGTGCCAACTGCACAGGCAGTATTCTAGAGCAGATCGACAATGTGATCCTTTCGATTCCTCATCTCAAAAGTCGCATCTTAGATCGGGTTACCAAGGCTGCAAGGCCACTGAGGAATCACATCAGATGACCTGGTGCTTTGACCCCACCATTCATGACAGATGAAAGCTTGGAGGTTTATTAAACTTGGAACCAACTAGCTGGCATTTTGCCGGACGTACTCCGTATCTATGTAGTCTTTTCGCTGTGAGATAACGATCGCTCGGCTAAGTAGGCATGGCAAACGTAATAACCCCCATGAGAAGCCTGAGGTGCCATTGCCTCATTAAGCGCAGCACACTAACACTCAAGCGCTCATGTTGGGCAGTCAGAGAATGGATCAACCATGTTCTCTTGTTTTCCCTTTGGATTGCCGCTTGTGCGATTTACAGCCCTCCAGCGACAACAAAATCGAGGTTTTGATGCAGCGAGATCTAGGAGCGTATATGGCCCATTGGGAAGTGCGCGCGAGGTGATGCATCATTTTCCCTCATCTGTGTTAATTGCGTAGGGGGTGGCTTTATCCCAAAATAGGTGTCTTCTACACACCCTAATAATAGTTGTGGGCGTCTAAATAACAGGCCTTGTTTTCTCACTCGCCATCAGCCGAGAAAACAACACCGTTCCGTTAGGGGACGGTATTACGAAACCATAGGCATTTCGCAGCTTGTCTATGGATACGACAAGTTTTTGTCTCCGTGATTTTCTGGTAATTCTTGGGGGCAGATGTGAGTCCATAACTGGAATGGGAACTCAGAATGTGTCCTCTTCCATTGCCCTATTGACGCCATTGGTCTGGAAGGACAGGCTTGGTGTAGATTAGATACGCCAATAATGCACTGCGCTTGCGGGTGGAACTCACTTCTGAAGTTTTGTACTTGGCTTCGTCATGCTGCAGACGTTTGTTCTTGAACCATACTCTGTATTCGCTTCATTATTTGCTCCCTGGCAAGATGTGTCGCTAATCGTTGCATCTTGGGTTATTCTCGTTCTCAGTAGTAAGCCCTGCAAGTCACATACTACATACTAGACGAAGAACCAGTGGGTAGAATCGTTTGCATGTTGACGTGCTCCCTCAATTGGACCGCATACAGGTGAGCGCTCAGATATGATTAAGCAGCGGAATGATGCATGATCCCGGCTCGTGGACATTGAGCGCAATCGCAAAAAATAAAATAAAAATAAACTAATGGCATTTGGTTGTGTAGCCTCTCAGCTGCGAGTGAGCTGTCTGTCACGTCTACAGCCAAGAGGAGTACTATATGTAGGTATAGGCAGTCTTGACGCATATGGACCCTGGTCAAGCTGAAGGAAGCATTCACACAACTTGTTGTGGATTGAGTCAAGCGGTTCCTGAAGGTTGATTAGTTTAGATGTTGGATTCCTTGTGAAAAGCTGCTTAACCAGTATGATTAAACGCAAACTAGCCGATCATAGGATCTATGATATTCGCGAGATGCAACGATGCTGTTGATGCAGCCACTGAAGAGTTCTTTCTATATATGAATATATCACATAGCGAATTGTATTGGGTTTGGAATGTTTTTAGCTGCCCTAGAGACTCTGTTCGATTCGCTGCGTATCATCTGGTTGGATAGAAAGAACAATGCGGAAGTGGGGATACATCAGAACCAATCACGTTTCCGCTTGACATTTATAAGGCAGGTGCAACGATAGACATAACCTCCAAGGAAGTAGCGATCGATGACAATGCCTTGGGGTAAGGCAAGTGTGCCCAAAATATATTTTCAAGGAATGGGAAGGTAGGAATTGGGCAGGTAAAATATCATTTTGGTCCCTAAGACCCGTAATTGAGGAATTACCTATGGTCGTTTGTCTCGGTCCAGTCGTTTTGTAACGCCTGTTGACTGCCTATTAGCCTTCAGCCCTCAGCCGTTGATGTGCCTAAGATAGTGCTGCGGAGCCAACGCTTGCTCTCGACGTTTGGCCGTTACGTTTGCAGGAACCATCTGACGCCAACTGGCTCAGCGCCACGACGTGCCAGGCATCTCAAAGATGAAGCACTTCAAGCCGCCACTTCAACTTTTATTAGGCTCTCAAAGCATGGTACACAACGCATCTTGATCAAACGTGAAGTCAACTCCACGACGATCCACACTTACACAAACAGAGAGGCGACCACGCGGCGTATACACATGTACACACAAAACATACGCAAGGGATCCCAGGTTTTACTTTCGCCAGAGTTCAGCCGCAGCGAGACGTGCCCTTCTCCTTGACCGGAACAACTCCGCAAGGCATACTTCCACGCCCAACTTGGCTGTCCTATAGAGAGTACAGCAGCTGAGAGATGGAAAACGGTCCCAAACAAAACCACAATTTGCCGCTCAACACCCATTGAAAGGAGTTTTAGGCACTTACGCCAAAATAGCAGACCCTCTCGATAGCGGAACCTGCCGCGATGTTGTGCACCTGAACAGTATGTTCATATCACGGAGTCGTGAGGCGGATCCTATCTCAACTCACGATAGAGGAACTCTTTGATCAGCGACCAGTCGCTGCCAATAACCATTGTGGCGTGCCGTCAAGGCCGGGCCAGTAACAACCACAAGAATAGCATCACCAAAACAAGCACAATTACAACTTGCAACTCCAGTCTACAACTCTCGTCAGTGCGAGCGAGAACAGCTTCTTGACCCAAAGTGTTCACTGCCAACGCTTCTCAACGCCAGCAGCTGGGCACTGCCCTGCCCTGAAGCTCAAGCCCAACCGGCGTGGTCCGGACATGGTGAGGCCTTGAAGAAGAGGATAAAAAATTCGAGATTAGGGTCTGGGTTCAGGGATGGCCCTAGGAGGGTTTTCACTCATGGCTGTTCCTGAGCGCACACCTTGTGCACCCCACCACACCCTACCCCTGCTCATGTCCCAAGCTCTCCCCAGCAGCGGCGTCGTTTTTAGCGTCCTCATACCCTTGTCGCGATCCCGTGTCCCAATGCCACACCCACGTCTCTAACTTCAACTTCATATCTTCAATCCCAAAAAGAGATCTAGAAACATGTATTGATCTCCAAGCTATAAGTTACTTTGGCTATGATAATACACGAGCAAGGAGCTCATAAAACCGCGTCTCAAGCTTGACGACCGGGAGTCCAGAATACGGGCTGCACTATGCCATCGCTTCTATAAACCTAACGGCCGCCCAAATCGGTGTAATTAAGTGGAATCGATCAAGCATTGAGGAAAGAGAGACATCAATTCAGCTATTTCTCGATTGAGCTTCCACTTTAGGTTTCCCCTTGTTGATTCTCGCTACAATGTCTCAACTTTGGTTATCAAGTCGCCAGGCTCATCAGTATCAGAAAGAAAAAGAAAAAGAAAAAGAAAGAGACAACTTCTCGCGGTCCAGAGAAGCTAAAGCTAGACAGGGGACAACCTTTGTCCTTCTATGTGACATCCCTCACCCCCCTCCCCTCTTTGATCATCATCTCTATGACCCAGAAATCCCATCTCGACCCTGGTCTCTTTGCGTCCTGACTAGATCTACCTCTAAGACCACCCCTCTTCCGGGTCCATGCCTAGTGCCCGCCAGTGGGGAAGGCATTGGATCTCAGTCTACTACCCAGGCCAGTATTATGACGAGACCTGGTTTAACATTCTGTTACAGTTCCAGGGCCTAGTCGGAGAGGTACCAGAGTATGTAGACCCGCCTTACAGAGGATCTCTGAGCATTACCGCACGATTGGCTACAAGAGAATTTGACCCTTGTCGCACATCAACTTATCTACTCAAGCAAAGGAATATATGTAGTTGGGCCTCTCCTCCAGGATTTCAACCATTCAGTCAACTCTGTCTCACAAGCAACTTACACTCTCAACTTTCAAGAACTATTCTATTACAATCATTCTCACTCCTATACACATACACATCTTGTCTCTCTACTCGAGTTCAACTTGACATTTCTGTTATTGCACTTGGACATACTGTTCTGATCCTTGATCCACGACTTGTTTCTCTCTAACATCACCAAGTCTTTGCGACTTTCCTCCGGGACAAACACAATAAAAAAAGCTGTCGGTCTTACTTTGAGAGTGAGACTGACCTGAATCGGCAGAATGGCCCTTACAACTCAAACATCAGGCGCCCCTAACTGGGGACGTTGGTCTCAACAACTACCTGGAGACTATACCATGATGGAATCACCATCCATGCTTCCATTCGACTCTCGAACCAACACGACTTCTTCCATTCAACGACCTGTCATGTCACCTTATATGGTTCAAGGCTCCTACAGCTCTGGCCAAGTGAACAGCATACCGGCGCCTCACTACCAGGTCTCCAACCCTTACCAGTTTTCGGCTTATCAAGGCCCACCAACACCTCCTCATCACTCTTCGCCCTTCAAAGTGGAATACAATGACCGTCCTCTCGGACATGAGAACGATCACGGCCGAATCTCCTCATACCTTCGGGACCCAAGATACACATACGTCGAGCAAGCACCCTCCCCTGCACGAAGCGATTCACAGGCCTCTACAGCCCGTTCTACCGGCACCAACCCAACACTCGCTTCCAAGACTATCATCTCAAACAGAACCCTGAATGGTGGCGACCAAATCAACTTTGAGACTGAGGTGGATGAGTTGATGAAGGCTATTCAGCGCAAGGCAGAGATGCAACCTGACGCTGGACACCAGCCACTCACTCCTGGGATGTCTCCTGTTTCCGATGCAAGCCTGGAAAGCCATGGAACTCCTACTCCTATGGACAACAAGACGCAAAGGAAGCGATATCATTGTAATGGCCCTAACTGCCAGAAGAGCTTCACCCAGAAGACTCACCTCGACATCCACCGCAGAACACACAGTGGTGAGAAGCCATATGTAAGTTTGAGCCTGACTCCAACAAACGAACTACACTAACATAAAAAGTCCTGTGACTTCAAAGGCTGCGAACTCACCTTTTCGCAATTGGGTAACCTTAAGACTCATCGGCGTCGCCACACCGGCGAACGCCCGTTCTCTTGTGACAAGTGTGACCGCCAGTTTGCTCAACGAGGAAACCTTCGTGCCCACTTGCAGACTCACCAAGGATTGAAACCCTACGTCTGCATCCTAGATGCCTGCAAAAAGACATTCTCTCAGCTCGGTAACATGAAGGTGAGCATTGACTATCGTACCAAGCCAAGTTTGTAGCTAACCACGCTTTAGACTCACCAGAACAACTTCCACAAGAAGACCCTCAAGAATCTCACCGTGAGATTCGCTCAGATCCTCAACTCAGGCGAAGAAGTGCCTGAAGTCGACCGCGAGCTGTTTGAATACTTCGCTACACACTACAAGAACAGCAACAAGGGTATCAAAGGCCGAGGAAAGGCCCGCACGGTTGCTGAGCGCAAGCCCAAGCTCTCTCACTCGCCTGTTGCAAACCCAATTACAAGCGTCCCTCAATACCCTCTTCCTCAAATCGCCTCAAGTCACCAAACACCTTCCCCTCACCAGCCACATGGCCTCCCTGTCTCAGGCAGCCTTGCAGCGTACAGCATGAGCCGCGTCCAGCACAATGCCATCAACCACATGCCTCGTGAATCTCACACGAATGGCTATGAGGTGTACGACATGCAAGGAGGACATCACCACATCCAGCCACCTCACAACACTGGCATGATGTACGAGACCAGCCATGTGCGCGAGATGAACTACAACGAGCGTATGTACTGAGGACTGTTCACTATGGAACAGCATCACCATACCAACTAGGCACGAATCGACAGCGTTACGTATTTTATTACACGAAAATCATTGGAACAGTACGATACGGGAGGCTAAACAGTGCAATTATTACCAAAAGCCAAAACATATAAACGGCGTGTCTTTTTCTGGGGAGTCGAAAATATTTGGTCACATGAAAAGTCCAGATGATGGGTTGAATTTTTTTGGGTGGTTGTCTGAACACGCTGATGCAGGGGTTCCGCCCTTTTTGTTGCTTTGATACCAATTGTTTTCTGCTTTTTTACATATACACACTTCTGAAGCAACTTGCATAGAAGTGCCTTGCTTACAATGTACACTAATGATCATCGATATTGGTTAGATGGATGCAAGGGAGAGCGAGAGAATTTGTTCATGATCTTATGGAGGCAAAGAAAAAAAAAGAAAAGGCTGTGTTATCTGCCAGGACGACGTCTTCCGTTTCTATTTTCTTCATTTTTTTGAGACCCATTTACCTGCTGACTTGGCAGCTATGTGCGCCAAAGTCTTTGCAATGTATTTCTCCACGGCTTTCACATGGAGGCGGTTGGGTTATATTCTTGGTTATTAGACCATTCCACGAGCATTGATGCATTTTACACAGAGTTATTAGACTCGGGTATATAATAACAACATTCTACATAATAGAAGATGGAGGAGCGAGAGTAGCCACAGGAGGGCGAAATCGAAATACTGGCATTTTAGATAGTATATGACTTGGAATTCGAATGAACATTGCTCAAGCCGATCATATTCAGGAAAAAAACTTGCCAACTTCAATGATGATAATCTCAATGTCTTGCCCTGTTAGACATGCCAGGCTCGGAATAAAACCACCGAACTGAGGACACAGTCATGCTTACGATAGTGGATGAGTAGCCTACCAGGATCGGTGTTTTGGAGACTTGTCACGCAGGCGGTCTATCCAGTCCAGGGGCACATGATGAGATGGTTCCTTCAACAGGATGGTCCAGACCGAGTTGTATGGCGTTGGCCAAAGATACAGGGGATAAGAAAGCAAATTAAGGCAACGCAGGGTACAGATATCCCGATTGGGGGCCATAGTGATGCCCAAATCATCAATTTGGAGAGCATGGTACTATGAATTTGTGACAATATTAGAGTACTCAGCTGAGCCAAGAGTTAAGGCCTCGATGGAGGATGACGATCCCAGCGTCACGATCGAAGAAACTGTCAGGGGCCACTGAAGTGACAAGTGAGTGCTAGAAGAACAGTATCTCGGTAAAAGTCTGACCAACATGAGTTGTTATGTTTGTAGTTGGTTGGTGTGGCTGTACGTACTGTGTTGATTCTACAATTGCCCACAGAGGCTAGACATAATTCCGAGTACATATGCATAATGTCGAACCAAGAATGCCCGACATTGAAGTCAAGTGAGGTAGAAGCTGTGTTGGTGGAATGCAGGATATGGGAGTGGCTGATTTCGACATGAGATTATCACCTGCATATTATGACGCCGATACTGTTCCTGTTTTGTGCGAGAACAATTTTCATTGCAGTTTTAGATTCATTTACATTGACAACTGTCCATAAAACTACGACAACTGGACTTACTTGTGAGACATAATATGATGTGTGTTATAGCATCTACATGTCCCACCGAGGTCGCAATTCTGTATATAGGATACAAAACTGCGTACTCATGTAGATTAGGGCTGCATGCCTCTCTTTCTGGCTGGATCGACAACCCCCCCTCCCCCCAATATTCACCGCCCCTACCTATTATGTCCTCTTCTCTCACTCTCCCCTGAAAGGACAACTGCTGAAGAGTCAAATGCACACACAGTCAAAAACGGATCTCTTCTGTGCATGTACCTATGCATGAAGCCTCATTTCCAAGTCTCTGTTTCGAGGACCAATGCGAGAGGCCTTCACCGCCGTAGATAACGTTGCAATGGTCTAGTCTGGTCTGGCCTGTCACTGTCATCGTGTGAGAAATTGCTTCACTCATCGGAACAAATCTCATAGGAATAATGCTTTTCCCGACCTTGAGAGCTGCAGATGCAGAGGCATGCAAGCCTTCGGCGGCCAGTTTTCTTTTTCCATCTTTTTGCATCCACAAAGCCGTTGAAAGCGTCTAGGTGCACGCACGAAATGCACGTTCCTTGTACACGAATTTGCTATAGATGCAAGATGGGGTTTCGCTGGGAATACAGATCGATGTGCGCCTGGACTAGAGATGAGAGCGTTGGTTCAGGACAACAGTTACAAGTCTTGTTGAGGTGGGGGGAGCACGCAAGCGAGCCTCGTACGGTACTGGATGACTACCCCCAGGAGCAAGTCCGTTTCATCTAGGTGGCGAAACGGACAAGACGAGGCGAGAGACAGATGAGTTAAGACAGACACCCAAAGGAGACAGTCACCAGTATCCGCGTATCAGAGCCGTCCGTCCTGCCTTGTCGAAACTTGAAGTATGCCCGAGACATTCTTGATGTGGGTTTGGCTGTGTATGCACTCAATGCCTACCATGTCCATGCCCACGTCCTTGTATATGTTCAAGTCCACGTCCGTATCCATATCCAAACAACCTAATGCAAGGGAGCCGTGCTGTTTGTTTGCATACACACACAAACGTATGTATGTATGCGTCCCTATATGTGTATGTATGTAGAAAGTCTTCAATACCCATGGAGCCGGTACTGCACCAACTATTCCGCGGAGCCCACAAGGGGAGTTGATTACAGTAGGTTACAGCATTTTAACCTCCATGCAGAGTCGAGACAAACAAGATGTTGTCACCGCTCTGTATCTCGTAGGCCTCCTCGCCTTCAAGCTCCCAGTCAGCGTCGTTGATGAGAACCAGGATGCCCGGTCGACTGTTTGCCACACTTGTTAGCTACAAGATCCATAGAAAACAGGTAGGAGTTGATATAAAAGAGCTTTGAACCGACGTGGCTGTGTGTGGTAGTGAGTCAAGGGGAGTGTGCATAGCGAGTCAGAGGCAAAGAGAGGTAAAAGACAAGAGGAGAAACAGTGGTCGAGACATACAGATGGCTGTCCAGAACGAAAAGGTCCTTACGAGAATCGTCCATAACGTTCTGACATAGGTAGTCTATCAAGTACGCAATATCGGCGGGTTTCCCATCTTGGTCTACCGCGGGAATTGACAGAGCGTGCTGTCGTTTATTAGAAAAGAGCATTTCCAACCCACCACTATAAAGTACCGCCGTGTTAGCTCCAAAGAACTTGAAGTAGAAGAGAAGGGATCAAAGCGAGGAGACCAAAGAGAGAGCAGAGACGAGACTTGTCAAAGGGAAACTCAGGGACAGGGCTTTGTCCGGGCTAGTGGGACACTCAAGGAAAAATTGGTAAATGCAGGAGGGTGTGGGCTTGATTTGGCGCCTGAGACTGAGTCGAGGCTGGAGGCTGGGAGTGAGAGTTGACATATCACATAATGCACACGAGATGAGGATGTTGGTGAAACGAACTTACGAGAACTCCACGTCGATGCTGAGCATTGGGGGAGATGCTGATTCGGCCATGGCGAAATAGAAGGAGAATGGAAGCAAGGCGACAATCCAAAGACTTGATCTTTTCTTTTCTTTTCTTTTCTTTTCTTTTCCTTTCAGCTGTCAACTGTCGACTGATCTCTGAGTTCCGAGTTTGTGAGATTTGCTTTTGTTATGGTGGGGAGAAGTAGATCCCGAGGTATCAGTCAAAGGTCAGAATGGCCTAAAGAATTTGGTTCCTTCTTCCGACGATGGAAAAGACAATAAAGAAAATGTTGTGACAAAGATTCGATCTCTGTAACAAAAAGAGTAAGTAAAACTTGATATTATTTGTTTTTCTTAATGTGTGATGTTTCGTAGAAACCGCCCACAAGCGCTTAAACAGATGACATAAGCAGGATTCATCCAAAAAATCTCAATAGAACGTCACTGCAGCCAATCAGAATTCAAGAACCACACACTTTTCAGATTCATATTCATCCCAAGACCCCTCCAAGAATAACGACTACAAATAAAGTAAAGAGAACAACAAAATAAATAATACAGAAATGGGATCGGAACCCCCATCTGTCGAGTATCTCTCTTCCGGAGCCAACCGACAGACGGCTGTTGCGGATTGGAGCCGGTGTGGTATTTTGGCCTTTGGAGCTGATATCAATGTTGCTTTATGGCGACCTTTGGTTAGTACATGAGTCACCTTGTTGCTACAAAGTCAATATATCCTGTTTTATATGATCTCCATGCTTCTCCTAAATCAACTCATACTAACATCTATACTCAAGTTGGATCCGCCTAAGGGAGTTAGCAAGTTGCTCAACGGCCACAAGAACACTGTCAAGGCCTTGGCTTTCCTCCCTGAAGAAGACCAAGACGAGAACTCTTATCTCATCTCGGGCTCAGATGATAAGACGCTGATTGTCTGGAAAGCTCAGCGAGACAGTGAAGAGTTCAAGCCCATCCACACATGTACCGAGCACACTGCTGCAATCAACTGCATCGCCACTCTAAGGATCAAGGGCACTCAGAAATGGATTATTGCAACTGGAGGTGCTGATGCCTCTATCAAAATCTGGAGCCTCGAGAATGACGACTTGTCACTACTCCAAAGCGTCAAGACAACACCAAAGTACTTTCCCATGTGTCTGTCGCTTGGTTACGCCGGAGACGCAAATGATGTCTTGGTGCTGGCATCCGCTGGTACAAGGGATATTATCCAGATACACACTGCAGAGGCCCAATCGGAAAAGACCCAGTTCGAGGTGCAAGCAATATTGACGGGGCACGAAGGCTGGATTCGAAGCTTGAGTTTCGCCAAAGAGACAACCGCCCCTGACAGCGATTTACTCCTCGCCTCAGCGAGCCAAGACAAGTACGTCCGTATCTGGAGATTCCACCAGGGCAAAGAGCTACCCGCTGCTTCGGTCAAAGGATCGGACCCTTCAAGCGACGCCTACTTGCCAGGCAAATCCCCTTCGAATAAGGCTCATCGCCTCAAGTCGG